GTGGGAAATACAATGCATTTTAAACTTAAAAAGTTATATATGTACATATCATTTTGGATTTTTAAAATATGTGTAGTTTAATGAATGATTGATACGAGTGTGGAAATATTTTTATTTTTAAAAATACTTTCGGACGTGTATATTAGTATATTCGAATTTACTAATATTCACAGGTACAAAATCACATGTAGAATATAATGTTTACATAAAAATTATAAAATAAAAGGATTAAACGTGTCATTTGACCTATTTCAAAATTTCCCTAAATTTAAATGGTTTATAATGTGTTATACTCCATTAAAAAAATAAAATAAATAATAAATAAAAAAAACATGTAATATTGTTTTATGAGCTGTATATGATTTAGCAGATAATATGATTGTCAAACATGTCATTTTTTGAGTTTAGGGAGTTGGCTTGAAACACAAACTGTTTATTAACTATGTTAAATAGGTTTACATAATTATGAAACGGGTATGATTATAGCCAACTCATATTCATTTGTTTCATCGGGCCACATTATAGTATCGGGTCTAAAATGTCAACTCATACTTTTATAAATAAATAAAACACAAAATGAAAATAGAGAGGGGAGTTGATATTTATCAGTAAAACTACTATTTAGCAGTATTTTCCTCCTGTTTAAACATGACAGTTAATAACATAACATAAAGTCCTCTATAGTATATTGTTTTTAACTGTCAATGTCAACTCGAACATCATGAGCTTGGCATGAAAACTCATCTTTTCAAAACTTGAATTCGTTGATTGATTTCATGTGTTACACTTACAGTTCAAACCAAATAAGAAGACTGATTACAATATATGTTGGAGTACATTGTCGCAATGATCTCTTAACTTTAATCAAATTAGAGAAATGGTCCTTCAACTAAAAAATTCATTACCATTAGTCCCTTAGCTCATCAAAATACGTAAATATGGTTTTTTTCATCAACTTCATCAAAATTAGTTATGTTAGAAGGACCATTGCTACGATTGAGGTCCCTTAACTCATCAAAATGTGTAACTATGGTCCTTTTTATCAACTTCGTCAGAATTTTATCAAAACGAATTATGTTGAAAGGACCATTGCTACAATTGGGTTAAAGTTGAGGGACCATTGCTCAAATTAGGTTAAAGTTAAAGGACCATTTCTCTAGTTGGATTAAAGTTGAAGGACCAATGGTAATGGATTTTTAGTTGAGGGACCATTGCTCCAATTGAGTTAAAGTTGAGGGACCATTGCTATTATTTATGTTTAATGGGTATATTATAATCATGTCTTGGAGTAAGACCATAAAAAAGAATCACAAGAGCATGAGGAAAATCTAATCACTAAACTGTTATCCTGTGCCTATCGTCGAGCGCGCATACATGGCACGAGCTACTCACCAAAAGGATGCGTGTTGAGATTCCACATTGCCATAGTGTATGATAGTCAAATAGTAGATCTGTAAATATCAAAGGTGAAAGAAATAATAAAATAGAATTTTGCCTACTTGATTCGCTTATTCAATTTGAGTAACACATTTTTTTCATGAGACAAATTTAATAGACAACTTGCCATGCCTACAGCATTGGAGATGCTTTTAAACCTGAGCTATGAGTGTTCACTTCATTTCTACGTACCTTTCTCTCAAAGCTCCGCCGTAGAAAAAACCACTTTACACTTTTCTCAAAAGGCTTCTGCTTTTCATTGTAGAGAAAGAAAGCTAGAGAGAGTGAATATATATAATGCAATGCGTTCGCAATGGTGGAGGCTAATGTGATGTGCTATGTGGACAAGGCGGCATTATTATTTAATTTTCAAATGGTGTTACTTAGCTTTTTTGGGTATGAACTAGGACTAGTTTGATTATTTAGGGAAAATCATATCCAAACAAATTAACCTAGAATGAACTTGATTCACAAAAGCTTGCAAGAAGGAAGTAAGGACAGGTTTGGCTTCGCCCTGACTAACGCCTCATTGCAAATTCAACTTGTAGACCTCTCGTCTAAGGTCTACAATCAGCTTTTCATACAACTAAATCCAAATCCATTAGCATTCCAACTGCGGCAAGTGCTATAAAGCTCTAGGGGCAATGCAATCGTGCCTTAAAGCTAATTATGCGCACTTCGAAGATTTTGAATGAAAGATTGATTTCCCGAATAAATTTTAACACAAGCCAAGTTGGAAACGAAAATTATGTTGTTGAAGATTGTTGTGTCAAGTTTTCAGAATTTTCTACGCAGCCAACCCATCCAGTTCCTCAAACAAGGACATCTGAAGCTGTATTCGTGTTAGAGCTGCACAAATGAAGGAAAACTAAGAGTTCAGAACCTCTTCGATTTTTCCATGTGACGTGCCATGTACGCCTAGGAAGCTAAGAAGTAGATTGTATCTACAATGTTATTATTTTATATAATTTTCTAGAGGACATAACGACCTCAAATTTGGCTTGCAAAGTAGTTGAACAACAAGTTAACCCAAACAGTACATCACAGCAACACTGTCAAATTGATAGATTAAATTGTACATGCTCTAAAAGAATTGGCTCCGTATTATAAACCATCGTGAAGATATGGATGCCAGCTTTATGCAATTTTTTTGGGAATGCAATTCTATGCTACATGGAAAACATTATCGTTGTTTACCACTTGTAGCGTAAGCTGGAATTCCGCAAGTTCTTCCTCCGAAGTCATATAATTGACACCCGACGTGCCAGAACAATCCATAAATCCAGGATACACACAATAATGACTAAGTTAATAGTTAACCTAAAGATTCCAACTAATGTTAGTCCGCTCTGACAAGCTAAAAACAAGGTCACTCACAAAGCACTGTGTGATTCTACTATTGTCCTCATCCACTACTAAAATGGAAAAGAACAGGGGATATACTATATGGAGTAAGAAGAAAAAATTTATGAATTCTGAATGATTTCTCAATCACATGGCGATTATGGATTCAGATTCCCACACACGAAGAAATTCGAACGACATTGTTACTCTAATAGTCTAATTTACTCTGAAATTATCTGGAGTAAGGCATATCGGAGTAAGTGCACCTTCGAAGTCCGATCATGGACTAAAGAACTCCAATCGTAACCAGGTGAATAAACAGACCCATGATGCCCCACATTTTGTTGGGCACCAAACAAGATATGTTTATTCCACAGGACACGAAAACTTAACTCGATTGAGGATCAGACGGGTTTCCTATATTCTTGTAGATTCCTACAATCTGGGATTAACGAGCGCTGCAAAGTGATCTTAATATTCAAGTCGATCCTGCAAAATCCCGAATGCTTCATCTAGAATGAATGAGTGAGGTGACTAAGTTTAGACAACATGTCAATCATTTATGAACTAAAGTACAAGAATAAGTTAATTCAGAGGACATGAAAAGTATGTTTGTAACTCCATACTCACCCAAGCGTAGTTCCAACGCGAAACATGAAGCAACTCTGAAACAAATAAAGATGCAAACAACAATTTGTCTATGCATATCATTCCACTTTGTGGACTAAACTGGAATTGCTCATATATAATTGAACAGTGAGGCTTATATCATTGGAAAGCTATTGATGTCATCTTTCCACAACACTTTACAGGCTTATAATTCCAGTCCTTAACGACGAAAATATCGACGTTTTACTATAGACAATGTAAGCAGCAATTTTTTTTTTTGGATTTGCATAGTTCACCTTTTTAGGTTTGAACTCCGATGAGGAAAACAATTCAAAGGCCCATCCATCAGGTGAACAACTTTGGTACAAGCCATGATAGCGCTCCAAGAGGTAAGTATTTTTGATTATTTAGTTGTATCTATAATTAAATGTAGGAGGATATGTGCTTTAAAGATTATTAAGCAATATTGTGGCATGGAATCATAATGAACTATGCGCATGAGCTAAACTTCGATTTGAGTTAGCCTCAATCATGTGCAGCTATTACCTTATAAGCTTCTGACTGGTTCCAGTCTGATTCCATCAATCAGCCACAAGCAAGCGAGCTTGGTTAAAGAAATAGCGTCTTATGCAATGACTCAAGCACCTAGCACGAACCAACGTTGGGAACTACATATGCAGGTTAGAAACCCCAAAGCTGGGAATGACCTTTTTAGATCCTCCCGTGACTTTGTTTGGTCTTTCTTACACCATTCTTATTGGTATAGGGAACCACCTCAATTTTCCAAATATCGCACTACCTTTGTAACTATGCAAGCGATGCCATAGTCTAAAATACTCGAGGTTGTAGTGTTAGAGGAGTCTTCTATAACCCATTCCATGGTGTTTCGGTTAGCAACTTAGGAGGCTTTAGTCATGTTAAGCGCAGTTATGATAGGCGAAATATGTACGTAGGTACGTGATCTCCTGATCCGGAAGCTTTTAGCGTGTCATCAGCCTCCAAAAAATTTGTGCAATCTAAGGGTTTGTGAGTTATAACATTCAAACATGAGCTCTATGTCAGTCGAGGGAATAATCAAAAGAACGGCTCGAAAATCATCAACTGTGACAAATTACATAATTACATAACATGATTATTATTTCACTATGTGAAAAATTCATAAACCAATATCCACAAATTGATTATTCGAAAACTAAAACTCTAATTGAGTAAAAACTTTGGACCAATGTTACAATTTAGGTGTGTAAAAATACAAGTAAGGTGAACGTGCTACGAGCATAAGTGATTGATAGATCTGTTCAATTTATTGAAATGTTTTGCTTTTTATTGTTTTTTAAATTAAGGAAGCATCATTAGCTCCAACTATAAATGATTGATAGAAATCATATACTTATGGAAGTGTAATTTCCTTTTTCTTTTTTTTTTTTCTCTTGTGAGCGTTGTTCACGTTCATTTAAATTGTGTAAATCCTGAAATTGCATTTCTAATCGGTAAACTTTGTCTTTTATGTTGAATCACATGAACAAAAGCCCAACAAGACAATTTTATTTATTTATTTTTTTTAAATCACATAGAAAATAAGCTTCCTAAAATCTCCCTCTCTCACTCTCCCCTCTCTAGACCCACACATCTATAGTTTTGCCTCTGAAGTCTAAACCCTTGTACAATGAACTAGACCAAGACCCCCTTTTACTCCTCAACAACAGCTGCTGGTATATCTATCTAAATCCAAGGTCCTATAAAATTAGGGTTTCTCTTTCCCTCCAACTGTCTCTCTCTGGTATCTCTTCTCTCTCTGCCGAGATCTGATACTGTCTGCTGATGCAATAGGTATATACTTTCTTCTATTGGGTTAGCTCCCTGTTTGGTTTCTGAGAAAAATAAAGGATTAATCTTTTGTAAATTTTTCCCGAACTGTTTCTTTTAACTGATACACTGTTTAAATCTCTGTTCCGTACGGTTGCTGCCAATGAAGACAAGGAAAAAGCTATTAAATTTTCAATTTTACGAATGAGTGGATCATATGTTTGGTTTCTGTTTAATTAGAATTCTCATTGGCCGAGCAAAGTTGTTGTTTCAAGGGTCGGTTTGTCTGCTTTTCGGGTCCCAATTTTTGTCGAAATTTTGGAGATTGAAAATCTTAGAATTTGAAGCTGTACGTATCATTTTTGGACAACTTAGGATTTCATTCAGTTTGTGTTGTTGGTGATTCTGAATTTTTTTGCTTCACATGGGTTGTGGGAATTACTAATTAATAATTAAGAAAACATGATAGAATAGGACATTTTCGATTTCTAAGGTTAATGGGTCTGTGTCTTTTGTGACAGTCTTGTAAGGTGTCGATAGCGTTAGCATACGCTGAAGTTTTAGAACTTCTAAAGCTGCGTGTCACAGTTATGAAGCTGTTAATCGCTCTAAAGGAGCTAACTTTTGTCCGTAACTAGTAAATGCAGTAACGGAGGAATCTGTTGTTGCCACGTCCGACGCTAAAAGACAATTGCCTGAATGTTGATTATGGTATTCCGATGGAGAATGAGATTTTTACACAATTGGGGAAGGATATAGCTTCCGATTGGTAGAAAATAATCATAATCATTTGATGTATGGCAACATAGAATTTAGTCGTCTGAGGTACATGTATAATTAATTCTGATTCAGTGCTGAGTTGAATTAGAAAAGTATTAATGGGCATTGAGTATGACTAGCATATTAGTTTTCATATTGACGAGTCATTGATATTTTCTTGAATTGCAATTTAAAACTTTTTTGTCTGTTCGAAAGATAACTGTTATTGCCTGATATGTCATCTCAACCTTACTTGAGAGCTGATATTGATTGTAAACTGAGGATGAGAAATTAATCATGGAATCTGTAATTTGCTAACATTCCACTTTACTTATTGTAGACGACAAAGTTTATGCCCATCATGGAAACTGATAATGCTAATGTTAAGCAAGCTGAAGATGCTAAACTCCTTGCCAATGAAGCATATAAAGGTAATAATCCGTGCTTCTACATTCTGTCATTACCCTTTTTTTCCTATTAATTTAATTTAATATGTATGGTTATGAAATAAACTATCCTTTAAATTTCTTGGATTTTGTGTATGTGTATTTACAAATCAAAATTTAAATAATCAAAATAGATTTGATATGAGTGAGATTTACTTTCGGTGTTGCTATATAGTAAATCCTAACAAGTGGCCGACATTATACATATACCGAACACACTATTCTAGAAATCCCATGTAGCTGTTGAGCAGTTGGCCACTGCTTCGATTAACCCCTAGGCCTTTGAAAATTAAGAAAGAGCTTCCAGACCTGCATAGGCGCTTGCCTAACCCGTCCAACCCGCCCAGACCTGCCTAAGTCGAGACTCTCACTTAGACAGAAAATAGATAACTTTCATTTTGCATTTTATTTTCTTCAATAAATTGTAAGAGACTTGTCGGATACTTAGATGAACACATATGATATGCTTGTTCCCCATGTTTTTATTATGTTCCAATGTTTTAAAGGCTCGCCTTAGGGAGCGCCTAGGCATCCTTTAAGGCCTGGGTGGGTTGCTGCCTCTGTTTTAAGGGAGTGGGGGAAGGAGAACGAAGGAATAGGGGGGGGAATAGGTTTTAACTGCCTCATACCTCTTCCTTGCACTATCGTCTCTCTGCTTTTTTTTTTTCTGATTTTTATTTTTTTATATAATGGATGTGTGTGCTGTCTGCAGTGCATTGTTATATGTGTGCTCATTGTGATTTTCATCCTCTATTATATATATATATATATAATATATGTGTGTGTGTGTGTGTGTGTGTGTGTGTATGTGTATATTTATAATATATGTGTACGCTCAGCGTATATATTAAAAAAGTTAGGTCCCATGAGGCTTTGCCTCACGCCTAGGCGGGCTATCCCTTGGACGCCTTGCTCACGCCTCGAGCTTTTAATACATTGTTATGTTCTAATACTTTTATAATCTATATGCCATTCTCATTTTCAATTTATTTATCCCAGTGCAATTATGTATTTTTAAGTGTAAGCACACACTTATTTATACGATACATAATAAATTTACTTAAATCCACCTAGCCCCACCTAGTTGCCTAGGCGCTAAGCCCCAACCCGCTGCCCGATTAGCGCCTAACATCTTTTAGAATCTTGATCTCACACAAGTGCACTGAATTGAATGAATTCATGTGAGACATTGACTTTATCTATTTGTTTCCTCACAATTGGTGAGAATGCCTCAGTCCTCGCATAGAGATTAATTTTGATTTGTTTGTACTTGTAGTGTGTTTATTTTGGGGTATGATCAGTGTGCTCATATTTTCTCTATGATATCAGCTCATAAGTTTGCTCAAGCTATTGATCTGTATACACAAGCGATTGAATTAAACAGTCAGAATGCTGTATACTGGGCCAATCGTTCAATTGCCCACCTTAAACTGGAGGAATATGGTAGCGCCATACAAGATGCTTCCAAGGCTATTGAAGTTGATCCCAAATATTCAAAGGCATGTTTTATCCCCTAGGTTTTGTGCATTTAGACATGTGTGATTGTGTTCTGATGGTTTTCTGTTGTTGCAGGGATACTATAGGCGAGGTGCAGCTTATCTTGCTATGGGGAAATTTAAAGAAGCGTTAAAGGATTTTCAGCAGGTGCTTTCTCCAGCACTTTTCTTCTTGAAAATTCTGACAAAAATTAAATTTCAATACCTACTATCATATTAAACTGCAAGAAGTTGAATTATCTATATTGAGGGAGGATTTTAAACAATCTATTCATCATGTGAAAATGGTTATCTGCCTAGTTGTTTTTTACCATATACATCTGATAGTGTTTTCGTTAAAGATAAATCTAAGTTTCTGGAGAGTCAAAGCTGCACAGTCTGAAGGTCGTAATTCTTCGTCACTTTATCACTATAAAGTTGCATTTTAAACTGTCTCTGAAAGTTTTAGAACACAATCTTTGTCCTTATTCATTGTGGCTCACATCTCTTATATGCACATTTACTGGAGCAATGCTAAACTGTAGATGGTTATGGTTTGTGCAATTGGAAACCTTACTGAAACATGGTACGCCCCCCATATCTGAACATGGAGCGGCTGGGGTAGACAATCAAATTTCATAAGCTCTTTAATCAGAATTTTCAATGTGATAAGACAAGCTTAGGTATAGTGTAAGAAAAGAAAAATCAAAGTGTGCAAAGATTTTTATGTAATGCCATCGTCTTTCCTTTGAGAAGAAGGATGCCTTTGAAAAAGTGTACCAAATTTTCTTTTGGTAACATTCTCTAAGAGACTGCATTGTTTGAATTTTTTCCTTGATCTAAAATAGGTCAAAAGAATCTGTCCAAATGATCCTGATGCTACCAAGAAATTGAAGGAATGTGAGAAAGCAGTGATGAAACTTAAATTTGCTGAAGCAATATCTGTACCGGAGGCTGAAAGGCGTCCTGTAGCTGATTCTATTAATTATCATTCTATAGGTATTAGTGTTGTTGCTTTTATGCTGATCTATTTATTGTTATGTTTGTCCGAGTTTTTCCACCTTCTTCTGCTTATCTTATATAGATTTTATTTCTGTATTTTTCTTTTTACGTTTCAATTTTTTGCAGAATTTCATCATCGTATGTTTCAACTTTCAAGCAATGGTTTTATTATTGTTAGAGTTGCTTGTATATACTTCTGAATGTTGATATGTATGTTCAAGGCATTGTGTGGATCTTATTCTTTGAAATGTGCTCAAGTGCATGCTACTGCAAAAAGAGTGAATGCGATAACAGGCCGATGCATCCCCTGTTTTGTTCTATTTTTTTTTAGTGGAATTAGTTTGTTATTAAAGAAAATATAGCAGTTCGATTTAAAAAATTCTCTCTTTTAGGTTTGAAGTTTTGTTAACTGCAAGATTTGCTCTCGCCAACACGGGTGTCTGTTTTCTTTTGTTGGAAATGTATGATGGCGCCTGATTTATTTCATGGTTCTGTTACTATTTACCCCGATTCAGTTTCAATTCTTTGTAAAATCCTGAACTTTGTTACCAATCCCTCTTTGTATCAGTTTTACTTGAGCCATTATATAGTGTGCTATTACCATAATACTGATTATTTGTCTGAACTCGCAAGGGATATTTAAGAATTTCAAGGCTTGAATTTTCACGAACACTTGTAATTATGAAAGATAGTTTTTAGATTTGTCATTTATTGATTCTGAATTAAGCAGGTTTAGAGCTCTTAAAGCAGCTTCCATGTTTGATAAGTTTGAGTGTATTTCTAAGATTCGTTAGTGTTGGTTGCATTGGTAGTGGATGCTATAGGTTAGATACGGGAGCTGCAGAAGTGAGCATGTTGACCATGTAATGTACCAAAACTATAATCATGGCAGTAGGGATGGAACTTGGGTAGTATTTGTACTGGCGATTTTGTCAGTGCTATAGTTCAGAGGGTCCGTTATTACCTAGAAGTTCCTCTTTTTTTATTTTTCATTTTTATTGAACAAGTGATCATTTGCACATTCAAATTTCATTAAATGGGGCGTTTATTAGGGATATTTTGGATGAATCAGTTTTCATTGGGTTGAGTTTGATATGGAAGGATCCTCTCATATCGGGTTCTTTCCTGTCTCTCATGTTGGTTACACTTCATGGATTATTTGGGACTACATAGTTGTCCAAATTGTTTTTACAGATGGATGAACTGTACACAAAAGTTAATGCTGTATAATATATGCATTAGTTGCTTCTGTTTCTGTTGGCATCGGTGTAGGATCTTTTTTCTTGTCTCGGTTGCTCGTTAGTAAGGAATCAGTTCCTGAAACATGTAATCCTCAGTTTTGTTAGCACCAAATAAGCTTGATCAGCATTAAGTAACTGATTATCATTTCATTTCAAAATTCTATTAATGTGCACTATACTAAATAGTGTCTGTTAACAGCATTAATTATAGTATTCTTATATATTGTATCATTATAGGAATGGCCCCCAGTATGTCACCAGACTACTACATAGCAGCAATTGGACTAGGAGTTGTGGCAGCATTGGTTATGTTCAGAGCAGAAGTGACTGCAGTTGTGGCCACAATAGTGGTGGTGATCATGGTGGCCCTAGGGGCACGTTGGTGGCGTGGCTTTCGTGGAAGTCGAGTAAATAACCTAGGTTTGAGTTCACAATCAATGAAGCATAAGATAATAGTCAAAGTCAATCTCATAACTTCTAATAGTTGGAAAGGTTCTGTTAGGTTCTAGGAGATGTATTACAAACTAATATATTCATTCACTCACTGCTAATGCATTCTTGATCCTACCATTTAGATGGCATACTTTCTCGAGAATGGATATGGTCTTAATGGAGTTAAAAAGAATTGAACATGGATGATATTTACTCTAGCTAACCCAAGTGGGTAGATCTAGGCCTTATATATATTTTATATATATTTTTTTTTTCTAGATCAACTTTCTTGAGTCGGGATTGAACTTTGTTTGCTTGTTCTAAAGTCTATGTTGCTCTGGATCTAAAGTTGGTCACAGAAAATTGGAACAAAAAAACCCAGTTTGCAACACTAAGAAAATAATCAAACCAGGAAGCTTAAAGTATTCATCTTAATGCGAATAAGAATTCTCATGAGCGGATATATCTTTCTTTTGTTTGTGTTTATTTGTGTGCCTGCATTATCTAGCTTCATTTGGTAAGCAACTTTGATTTTCTGGACTCATTTCAAATGTGGCATATTATTTGGTACAGCCAGACATGTCGTAAAAGTTATCACTTATTGCAATGCAATGGAGTTGCTAATTTCTTTTTTGGATATTGATGACTGATTGAGCATCCATCCTTTTGACATGTACAATCGGGTAGAAAATAGTATGTTCCATATTTTTTAATATTTGATGCCTTGGTGAAGGTCATGTATGTACCCACATAAAAGTGGTGCCCTTGAATTTTATAGATTATATAACTGGAGGGACTCTCTTATGGCCAAACCCTCACTCTCAAATTAATGATATAATAAGGTCCTATTTACGTTTACATTGGGTAAGGCTTATTTACGTGCTTTAGCACTTGAGAGCTAATGAAAGTGATATCTGTTTCAACTTCAGATGTGGAGCCACAATATGGTGGTGCAAGGATAGAAGGGGACGTTGTTACTTTGGATTTTGTGAAGAAAATGATGGAGGATTTCAAGAATCAGAAGAATTTACACCAACGGTATGTATGGGAAATTACAATACTCACTGTCATGGACCTTGGCAGCAAAATATTGTTGGACACTTTTTTCACTTCACCTGGTATCAATTTTGCAGATATGCGTTCCAAATTGTTTTACAGACGAAAGAAATGTTGCAAGCCATGCCTTCTCTGGTCGATATAAACATTCCTGAGGGCAAACATTTTACTGTTTGTGGTGACGTACATGGTCAGGTAATACATCTCTTCCATATCCGTAAGATACTGGATCGAGTGCTTGATTTGACTTTGAACAACATACAACATCTTAGAAAGTTAATTGATAGAGAAATAAAGGGGTGTGGACCCGTAAAATGTCAAATACTAGGTGAAACCATAAATATTTCAATTTCACATTGTCTTATGGTTTTTTCTGAAGTCAGCCTAGTCCGACCAAAGTATTATAGCTTCTAGTTTTGGTAGTTTTGGTGGTTGTCTACATGATATGTATCTATTAATGTTCTAGGCACTCTCTCATTTGTTTGTTTGTATTGCCTGCAGTTCTATGATCTTCTAAATATTTTTGAGCTTAACGGGCTTCCTTCAGATGAGAATCCATATCTATTCAATGGAGACTTTGTGGACAGGGGATCTTTTTCTTTGGAGGTGATCCTAACGTTGTTTGCATTTAAGTGCATGTCTCCATCAGGTGAATCCTTTAGTTTTCTTGATCTGTTTATAATTTTTTTTTGTTAGTATAGTTAGAAATTCTTTTAGGCCTTCCATATCTTTTCTGAAGTCAAGTTCAAGCCACTTTTCAATTACTTTGTCATGAGATATTACTGTGTTGCTCCTCCTTCCAATTTCAATATTATTTTCAACACATTTCTTTTGCTCATTAATCTGACCATGTTGGAACTTTTTTTTTTTATTGGAAAGAAATATTGTTCTGAATTGGTAACCTGTTGTATGATTTTCAGCTATATATCTCGCAAGAGGAAACCATGAGAGCAAGAGCATGAATAGGATATATGGTTTTGAGGGCGAAGTCCAGTCCAAATTAAGTGAAAAGTTTGTGGAGCTGTTTGCTGAAGTGTTTTGTTGTCTACCGCTGGCTCATGTGATCAATGGGAAGGTTTTTGTAGTCCATGGGGGTCTTTTCAGTGTTGATGGAGTGAAACTCAGTGACATTAGAGCAATTAATCGGTTTTGTGAACCTCCTGAGGAAGGTAATTTATTACATTCCTTCCCTTTATTCTGCTTTTCGGTTAGCCTCTGTTATTGGCCTTAACCAGGTGAATTCAAAGCTTGAAAAAATGTCATCACAATTTCACAAACCTTCTGTAAGTTAATTAGCCAGCAGATTTTTTATTTGTTTTCCTGGGTTTCATCAGGGTTAATGTGTGAATTGCTGTGGAGTGATCCACAACCTGCACCTGGAAGGGGGCCAAGCAAACGAGGCGTAGGTCTTTCTTTTGGTGGTGATGTGACAAAAAGATTTTTGCAGGAAAACAATTTAGGTAAATTTACTAGTGTTAACAAGTCATTTTACTGAAGTTAGTGGTGCTACTTACCAAAAGATGTACGGGAGGATTTACCTGGCTGTTAATATACAGATTTAGTTGTGCGATCTCATGAAGTAAAGGACGAGGGTTATGAGATTGAGCATGATGGCAAACTCATCACTGTTTTTTCTGCTCCAAATTACTGTGATCAGGTAACTGAATGATTGCTAGTCGGCTACTCTTCTATCATTAATAAATTCGTCTTGTAAAACTTGTTCTGTATGAAACCTTATTGAAGATTATTTTTGCACATCTGGTAATTTTGGTTTATGGTTTGCACGTTGCAGATGGGTAACAAGGGTGCCTTTATCCGTTTCGAATCACCAGATTTGAAGCCTAACATTGTTACTTTCTCAGCAGTGGTCAGTGACTCCGGTCAATTTAACTGCTTCATATTTTTTAACGCGTGCGCTCGCACATACTGTACAATAATGACGTGCCTAGTTGCACTAAAAAAATTCCGTTGTATAATATTGCAGGCACATCCTGACGTCAAGCCAATGGCATATGCAAACAACTTCCTCCGAATGTTTCAGTAATTATGTCCAAGTGGAAGTGCCAACACGGTGTGTCTTTTGCTATCTGACAACTCTCCGGTTGAATACAACTTTGCCTCAGAAGGCTCTACTGGAGAAGGGGTTGGTGCATGTTCCCGAATGCAGTATCTTGTTGTGATTACTTTCCGTAGACATGGTTTCTTCCATTTTACCTGTCATTCTTGTGCTTGTCACCGCTAGGGCGAGAATATTTCATCCATTTTCTTTGAAATCGTTTGTGTTCTTGTGCTTGCTCTCGGAAGCCAGGTTTAGGGACGAAATTCATAACCGTATGAAGAATGACTGCCGGCTAAAGTTCATGGTGTTTTCGCCGTATGAAGAATGACTGCCAGCTGAAGTTCATAGCGTCATCCTGCCCGAGCGGAAATACTTGCCTATCCTTATTTGTCTATCTCTCTCGTCACATAACTTCCTCTCTCGTATGAGATTTAGATGCGAATGTGACTTGTATATACCAGTAATTTCTTTGACATCAAATGATACTTCCAGTTGTGTTGAAATTCACAAATAGTCCATGCAAAGAGAGGAGTTGAAACAAATTGTAGCGAGCATTTGCCCTCTTGTTTTATTGCTGCTTAGAGGTTGAAATAGCAACTAGACTTTTGAAACGTGGACTCAAAATCGATTGGCCCTCTTCTAAGCAATCGTGCACGTATTGAGTGATATTGGAGCACATGCGGCCGTTGAGCACATCACGTAGATAACCCATTTCAGATACCTCTACCCATATGTCAGCATCAAACTCATAATCAATTGTCAACCAGTAAAGAGGTCCAAGACGATTAACCTTGTCAAGCTATTTCGTAAAGTTTCAATTCTTCCACGTGAAATTCACGCAACAAATTCTTCCTTATCTGAGGACATGTTATAATACTTGATGAGAGATGCGACTTGAAGATGTGATGGGACCCGTTACATACAGATTCTGATTAAATAAGGGTATCAAAGTCGAGTTTCCTAATAAACATTGGTATGCAATACCTTGCTCAAATCAAAGGCTAGATTTAAACGCTTTAGATGAAACTAATGTATTGCAGAATTTGCATCAAATCAAACTATAATAGAACTACGCAAGATACTCGTAACTTAATTGATTAAAAGCATTCACCTATGAAACTAAGGTACCAATATAAGTTTCCCATCTCCAAATACCGTTTGAAAAAAGTATGTAATATTATCATGGGGGCGTCAAAATTTTGGGGCCCAATACCAGGCCCAATCAAATCACTTTTTAAGTTGCCCAATTTTAATATTGGGCTCGGGTTAGGGCAGTGAAACCCGCCTAAAATCAAGCCCAAGTGAGAAAATAAAAAAATTAAACTGAAAAATCACGAGTTTGTGTTTTCGCTTTAGCATCCATCGTCGTTTCGAGGCTACAATTGCTTGCGTTCGTCGACGCAGCTCTCCTGGCGTCGTTTTTGCTTGATTCGCCTTTCAGGTTTGTTTATTTCCTCCTCACCTTCCCCCCATAAAATCCTTTCCCCTTTTATCTCTCCCACCTTTTTCTTCTCAGCTCCCTGTTTGGCTTCCGAGAAAATTTAATTTACAAGCTTTCTCATGAAATTTTCCTTTTCAAATTACACCGCCACCGTTTTCGGCTCACTTAAATTTTTGAGAATTTTGGAAGTAGAACCAGCTAATGACATAACTGACACAGAATCTCTTTTTTTTCTTTCCTTGTATTTCTCGGAAGCCAAACAGGGTTTTTTTTTTTTATTTTTTTTATTTTTTTTTTATTTTTATAAATCTTGGGTGTGATTTTGATTGAGGATTAGGTCTGTGTTTGGATTAAAGCAGAGATTATAGCGTTGTGGATGTGAACTTTTGAATGTATAATGGATTTCTGTGGCGATTAAGACCTGAATTGGATTAATTATTTTTAAGGGGTTTTAATTAGAGTTTTGGCTTTGGGTGCTGTATATTGGTTGCTGCAACTTTCAGGTAGTAATTGTGTTGTGAAGGTAAATGAAGATGATAAGTGGAGCTTTAGGTCTTAGTGTTTGTGTATTGGCTGAGAGAAATGGGTCTTGCTCCATTTGCTTGGTTCCTCGAAAAGTACAAGAGGAATTTAAATGCATTGTGATGCATGATGCACGAAAGACTTTTTTTTGTTTTTTTAATCACAGCGCGCTACGCGCAACATACATAGTTTTTTTTTTTTTTTTTTTATTTTTTTATAACTTCGCAATTGTCAAGAAGGATGATTTTTTTTCTGAATTAATGATACCGATCATTATCAACAACAAAAACAATGTAAGAACTTTTTGATATGTTCATTTATTCCTCAGAAAATTTTCGGTGCATTGATGGTTTTCTGTCTGAGTCTTGCAATTTGGTTTTTGGATAGCGAGAGGAAAAAAAAAGGAAAATGCTTCAAAGTGTTGTTCTTTCATATAACATGTAGATGAGTGGAATTTCTTGATTAGAGTCGTTCATTTGTCATGAATTAAGAATGACAGTTCATGGGAAGAATTGTAATTTGAAAAGGAGGACATATTCCAAAGAAGCGTACTTAGAATCTCTTGTGTGAAAACAAACTGCAGTTTGAGGCTCTTTCTGTAATGATCTGTAAATTCTAGTATTGGACATATTGGAAAATGCAGAGATTAAGACCTTAAATACAGGTCTCTTAATTTGATCGGAGTAGGTTCAGAATGCACAAAAAAAGGTTTCAATTCTAATGTAAATGAAGTTTTTTATTCCTGGTTCTTTCTGACTGCGACAGCTTTCGTATTTATTCTAACTTGTGCTTCATTTGACCTCATTCACGTATGTATGTGAAGCTTCCTGGAGCTGAAACTCTTCGTTTATGGTATACAAGTTAGAGGCAAAAATAGTGTGTAAACGATTCCTTCTGTAATTTTGTTGTTTCTGAGTTTAACGGATTTACTAAATATGATTATGGATTAAGATGCTGCTTTCTAGTTATTTGTTGGAGCTAATACACTGGGGGATATTTTCTGTAGTTGGCAGTAATGGAAATGATACTAGGGGACCCTTATGGGACTAATCCCGGACCAATTGATGGTTCAGTGCTTTATGATCAGGACAAGCATGTGTCTTCAGCAGTTTGGGATGGCCAGGTGCGTGTGCTATTTACTGACCCGTATAAGGCTTTTTACCATTTCCTTCAGTCTTTTTTATGAACTATTTTTTCTGATCTGGATGATAATACATACTTTTAACTACCTGCAGGAGCGTGGTGGACTCAGATGCCATGAACACACTTCAATGCTTGATCAATGGACACTTACGGAAAAACAGGTTGAGTTGGTAGAGAAGGCTGGATTTGGTTATTTAAGATTGATTCCTGCAATTAGTCTAGATAATGCACTCATTTCTGCACTAGTTGAAAGGTGGAGGAGAGAAACAAACACTTTTCACCTTAATGTTGGAGAAATGACGGTAACTCTTAGGGATGTCGCACTATTGCTCGGTCTAGCAATTGATGGAGAACCTGTAATTGGTATAACACATACCACCTGCAACTCAGTTTGTGACAGGTATCTCGGAAAAGTACCAGAGCCTAGTTATACTAGTGGTGGAATGGTGAAGCTAAGCTGGTTGAAAGAGTTCTTTTCCCATTGCCCTAAAGATGCACCACTCGAAGTGGTTGAATGTCATACCCGTGCTTACCTCTTATACCTTGTTGGAAGTACAATATTTTCGACAACTACTGGGAATAAAGTCCCTGTCATGTACCTTCCACTGTTTGAGAATTTTGATGAGTGTGGGAGATATGCCTGGGGGGCAGCAGCATTGGCATTCTTGTACAGGTCACTGGGCAATGCTTCTCTGAGATCTCAAAGTACAATTAGTGGCTGTTTAACGCTACTACAGGTTATCTACATGTCTCTTTACTTTATTTCTTTTCTATTTTCTATTTTTTCAGAAATTCTTTTGGCTCTTATTTGCAGTTGCTTCTTGTCGATATCTTATATAGTTTATTTCATATCATATTGTTGCAGTGCTGGAGTTACTTTCACCTAAATATTGGACGACCAAAGCTCAATACTGATTCAATGCATGATCGTTTTCCTTTTGTTCTTAGCTGGAAAGGAAAGCAAAGTAGGCCAACAGCATACCGTGATGTAGTGTTTTACCGTAAAGCTCTTGATTCCTTAAAAGCATGTGATGTAAGGTTTCTCTTCCTTTTTACATTGATAACTTATTCAGTATATTATAATTTTAATGTGGATTCAGAATATATTTGACATGGTATTGGCTTATAGGTGGAGTGGCATCCGTATAGAAATATGGAATGTACGGTGATTCCAGAAGATATCAAGAGCAATCTGATTATAGAGAGGTCAAAAACAATGCTTATATGCTTTGACAAGGCAGAAAGGCATCTCCCAAATCGTTGCCTAAGGCAATACAGCATGCTTCAGTCGGTCCCAGAGGATGTACAGCGATGGGAGAGAAAAAGTCGTCGAGTTGGTGGGGTTGACTTGTCAGGGAAAATGGAGTCAGAGCTTAATGAATGGCTGGAACGTCGATATCATATTGTGGATGGTGATGATGGTGCAGCTGAAAGTGATTATATGCTGTGGTACTTGAAAATTACACGTAAATTTATAGGGAGGCCTATATCTCTCTCGTCTGAGTTTCAAAGAACAGTAAGCTTCAGCAAAAAAAAAAGAAAGGTAAGATTGTGTTAATTAAATATTTAATTATAAATTTATTGGTTATTGTCATATGCGAGGATAAGAAAATGGTGGATTATTTTTAAATGATAACTTTATAGGTTCGATTCTCGCCAAAGGCGAATTTGAACCACATTATTGCTAGCCCACTCCCCACCCCTTAGTGTAAATAATATCGTTTGTTCAAAAAAAAAAAAAAAATTATTTACTTTTGCAGAACGCTGGGTTGAGGGATATTGCACGCATAGCAGATACATTCATAACAGATGGGTTGGACCCAAATCAAGCTGATTCAATTGAAGAAATCAGGAGTATTGCGCATCAATGTTTGGGGGACCAGGTTGGTGGTCCGGACACACCGTCACCCACCCCACAAAGTGATTTTGGGAAAAGGATAAGAGGAAAGGAAAGGGTAAGAAGAAAAGGTATGGGAAAACGTTTGCGGAAGGATGATCCAGCACAATACATTACTGCTAGTGAGGATGATCAATCCCAGTTTTGTGGTACCACTGTCATGGTTGAGCAGTTACATTTTCAGGATGTAGATGGTGAGGATCATTCGCAGCTATATCCTGTTGACAGTGAGGTCACTGCTTTGCATATGATGAACGGAGATGGTGAGGATGAGAATATGCAGCTATGTAGTGCCGACATGGGGTTCGACCATTCAGAGCCAAGCCATGCGGCTGCTGTGGAGGGTAATTCTGAGCTAATATGTGCAGTTGTGAAGGTCGATGACACAGAGCTTTTTGAAGCAACCGAAGAGATCGACTCACAGCTTCGTGATGCAATAAATGAAGTCAATGACTCACAACTGTCTGATTCAACTGAGGTAGTTGATCCACAGATTTGCCATGCAACTAAGGTCATTGACTCACAGCTTCATTGTGCACATAACAAGGTTGATGAGTTAGAGCTTCCTCATTTTACAAGTGAGAGTGATCCACACACATATAAAGTTGAAGCAGAGGTTGTTCCAGAGGCTTCTCTTGAGACTCCTCAAGATATTGCGCAGCAGAGTAAATGTAGTGTTGCAGTATAGAGTAAAGGCACTATCATGCAATTTTTCTGAGGTAATCCTTTCACACAAGTAAAGATGTTCACTCTGATCCGATAATTAAGTGTTCGGTCTTATTTCTACCATTTTCCGCTTGCATTTCCTTCTATACCAGATGAATAATGAATCTATAATTCCTTATTATTGTTTGACAGGCAGCGCGAGCCTCACTATACAGTATTACGAATATGCAGGTAGATTAGCAGTCTTGGAAAGGTAACAGCTCTTCGTATATATGGCTAGTTAGCAATACGATGCTTGGATTCATGTTAATTATTGTACTGTTTTGTGTTCTGTAACAATTTATTACGTCTAATCTATTTTTGTGTCGTCGTTGTCTTTCGTTTATCGATTATTCATTTTCGTTTCGAAATGTAAAAATTACTGGAACTTGTTTATGTTTAGGTACGGGGAATAATGTTCCACACTCTAGTATAATTTCATGTATATTTTTATCCCTATGAAAATTTTGATGTTTCATTTCTTGCCGTTATTTTTGTTATTTTTTGTACAAGTGATACTGGGGGAGGGGGAACTTGAACTCGGGTTCTTAGGTGAAGGGTGAATGTTTTTAACTAATTGAGCTACAATTCTTTTGCGTACTGTTGGATGTTTATATTTCTTGAAGAGAATGCAAGGGACAAATGCAACCGTATGTGCACACACTTGTTGTTGAGATACAAACTCTGAACCTCTTCGAACAAGGTTGAAACTCAGAAACTGCAAGCTGTGAGGTAAAATGGTTGTGTGCTTAGCTTTTAGGCGTTCAGTAGCATAAGTTTAATGTTTTGTGCTACTATGCGACACTGCCCTGGTTTGCACTTTCGTGTCATGATTTTCTGTGAATTAAGAGAACATTTATACAACACATCCAGAATTTAGAAAAATCAAAGCTAAAAGCAATTTCAATTGCCAATGTGAAATAGTGGATTGGCAGCAAGGGTATGATGAACTTTTAAGTTCGTATATCGGTATAGTTGATGAGAGGATATGTCCTATTACCGGTTGTGTGTATACTTGGTTTTAGTTTCAAACATTTATATAGTCGGTAACACTCAAGAACCTATCATGATTGAAGGTTATAATGGATTTTTTACGTTCATCTTTTTTTTTTTTTTCCTTTTTTTAAAGCGAAAAGCTTCTGGTACAACCTAATCCAATACCGTCAAGGTCAAAAACTTCTAAAGCTAAAGCGGGAATGGCACCACACTTCGAAACACCTTATTATTCCTTTCGTTCCAAATTTGCCAGCAAGTCAGAAGGGCTTTTCCAAGCTTCCACATTTGCGTAAGCAAATTTTTCCAATTAACCTCTTGATTAGTATTACCTTTAACCCATGTAGCCGATTTAATTGAGAATTCACCGATAGAAGAATAATTCCAAATAAAGTAATCCTTGGTATCCCTCAATGGGATGCTCACACGACAAATTTTTTTAACAATATCAGCATCCAGTAAGCATAATAATTTATTGGTATCCCAACATTTATCTTGAATAAAGTCACTTACCTTTAGATTCCAGTCAAGATTCTGCCTTTGAGATTCAGGCACAAGGTGGAACAATGGGTAGGAAAAAATCCAACAGTGAGTCCAGAAGAGAATCTCCTTGTCATTACCCACCACCCATCTCAACCCCATCTCAATCACGTATTGACTTTGAAGAATGCCCTTGCCAGGGAGTGATTTTGCTTAACTTTGCAATTGAAGAAGCCACTTCTTTTCAAGTATTTTCTTCTGACTATTTGCACCCACCAGTTAGTATCATTTGTAAGCACTTTCCAACCCAATTTGGCCTAGCAAGCAGTATTAAAATGATCCACTCGATGAATCCCAAGACCACTCTGGTCCTTAGGCCTACAAATTTTATTCCAGGCTAACGGAACAAAATTTCTTTCACTACCCCAGAAGAAATTTCTACATTATTTGTTTAAGCGTTTAGTCACCCTAGATGGGCATTTAAAGCAGGACATGAGATGATTTGACATACCCAATAAGTTTAATTTGATAAGAGTGAGCCTGCCAGCTTTAGATAAAGATTCGCTTTCCAACCTGCTAACTTCTGCTTAACTCGTTTGATAAGCTCCTGCTCATTTATCGGGTCCTTCCAAAACATAATATTATGTATCCCCAAATATTTGCCAATAGTAGTTTTATGTTGGATTTGCACGATATTTACAATTGAATTTCTCAACTGAGACGAAGTATTATCCGAAAAGAACAAAGAAGATTTATGGAAATTAATTTGTTGACCAAAAGCTTTCGCGAATAAATTTAATGCTTAGAGGATATTTCTAGCACCCGTTGTGGTCGCTTTAGCAAACAAAAAATAGTCATCAGCAAATACTAAATTAGAAACACGAAATCCTCTCAGGGAGGATAGAATACCCACATTGTTTTTTGAGTTTATAGCTAACAAGTTAAGATGTCTGATAAGAGGCTCCATGCAAAGAATAAAAATATAGGGTGACAAAGGATCACCTTGTCTAATACCCCTAGAGGGGTAGAAATAACCATGAGAAACACCATTAATTAGAATTGAAACCGAAGTGGATGTTAAACATTCAATGACTAACCTAACCCACCTTTCATCAAAGCCAAATTTTAGAAGCACATACCTGATATAGTCCCAGTTTAGCAAGTCATAAGCCTTTTCAAGGTCAACCTTTATGCCCATGTACCCCATCCTTCCTTTCTTACTTTTAAAACCAGAGAACATTTTGTGGGCAATTAGAATATTATCATGTATCGAGCGACCCAGAACAAAAGCCCCTTAAGACTTAGAAACACAACGATTCAATAACGGTCTTAGCCTCTCGATAATAATTTTCGTAATAATTTTGTAACTTACATTACATAGACTAATGGTTTTGTAATTACCAACCGTTTCCAGGAATTCCACTTTAGGAATAAAAGCAATATTTGTATGGTTAATTAGCCTTAAACTCAAATTATTGAGAAAGAAGTCTTTTATCATTGGACTTACCGAGTCTTTAACAATGTCCCAGCATTCATGGTAAAAATCTACACCAATCCCATTAGGTTCGAGAGCTTTGAGTGCTCTAATACTACTAACAGCCTCCCAGATTTCAATGTCCCTCGCCGGCTGAAGCAAAGCAGCATTGTCAGAACCATTAATGCAAGGGTGAATGACGTCCAAGTAACTATTTAAGTTTGAGGAAGAGGGCGAGGGTCCCGTAGATAAACGCAGCATAAAATCCTGCACAAAAACCTGTTCTAAACCCTCACTAGCATTCCACCATAATCCATTGCGATCCTTGACCTTCTTTATTTCATTTCTTTTTCTCCTTATGGTGGCAACAGTTTGAAAAAAATTTGTATTTCTATCCCCAAGCTTCAACCAGTTAGCTTTAGCTTTTTGGGCCCACATGAATTCCGCTTGTCTTAAAACTAGATTGAGCTTGTCCCTGATTTTCTCCTCCAGTTCTAACTCGTTAATTACATGAGGATTATTCATTATTTTCATTTGAACATCAAAGAAGTCATGCAGTAACTTGTCCTTATGGGCTTTAACATTACCAAAAGTACTTAGATTCCAATCCCTAACTAAATACTTGAAAGTGTTAGCACAAACATGAAAATTATGACCAGGCCCAAGATCATACCACATCACTGAGAAACTTCCACAAAATTCTTGCGATGGAGCAACCACATAGCCTCAAATCTAAAGGGATAATTTTTCCTTATGCTAATATTACAATTTAAGGTCAGTATGTTAGGTTCATGGTTCGAGCCAAAGATAGGGTAGTTATGAAGATTAAAGTTGGGATTTTCAGATAACCAACACTCATTTACTATGGCTCGGTCAAGTCTTTCATAGACCATTATATTGCCATCCTGATTATTACACCAAGTGTAAGGAACCCTTGAAGCATTAAGTGAAATGAGGCTCCCTTTATTAAGGAAGTCCACAAATCTATTAATGAACACCGTGGTTACTGTAGAATTTTGATGTATATTTGCTTGATTGAACAATTACAAGATGAAACATATATATAGGAAAGAAAAAGAACATAAACCTAATTTTGCCTAACTTGCCTAACTTGCCTAACTTGACTAACCTAACTTGCCTAACTTTGAACAAGAAAATTGACTAGCCTACCATTATTCCAACATGTTTATTTCATGCATTTTTACACAAGGATTCCAACCTAACTTTGTTTGTCTAACACTCCCCCTCAAGTTGGAGAGTGGATGTCAAGAACTCCCAACTTGCGTAACATACCCGAAAACTTTTCTTTCCCAAGAGGTTTGGTAAACAAGTCTGCCAACTGTTGTGCCGTACCCACATGCTTGGTCTCTATTGTGCCATCTACAATCTTATCTCGTATAAAATGACAATCCATCTCAATGTGACGAGTTCGTTCATGAAAAACAGGATTGGCAGCTATATGTAACGCTGCTTGATTATCACAAAATAAAATGGAAGGACCATCCAAAGGAATGTTCAAATCCTTCAACAAAAAACGAAGCCAAACTATCTCACAACAAGCACCTGCCATGGCCCTATATTCCGCCTCTGCTGAAGAGAGCGAAACGGTTTTCTGTCGTTTCGTCCGCCAAGAAATCAAAGAACCGCCCAAGAATACACAATACCCAGTAGTCGAACGGCGAGTGATAGGGCAACCTGCCCAATCAGAATCACAAAACGCAGTTAACTTGGTCTGGTTGTCAGAACGAAATAATAAACCTTGACCTGGAGTAGCCTTCAAATAACGAACAATACGAAGCGCAGCATCCATATGAGATATCCTTGGCTCGTGCATAAAACGGCTTAGAACATGCACAGAATAAGTGATATCCGGCCGAGTGATAGTGAGATATATTAACCGACCTACTAATCGTCGATACTTTTCAGGATCCTTGAGAAGTTCTCCTTTATCAGATAATTTTGTGTCATCCATAGGAAAAGCAATGGGTCGTGCTCCCAAAAAACCATAGTCCTTGAGAATCTCTAATGCATACTTGCGTTGAGAAATATAAATCCCTTGTTTGGAACGAGAAACCTCAATACCCAAAAAATATTTTAAATCACCAAGGTCTTTTATCCGAAAATGATCACGGAGAAAAGACTTCAGAGAATTAATGGCACTAGCATCATTGCCTGTAATCACAATATCATCCACATAAATGAGCAAAGCTGTGAAAGAAATACCAGACTTTTTAGTGAACAATGAATAGTCAGCTTTGGATTGTTGAAAACCGGCAGAAATGATGGCACTAGTGAATTTGGCAAACCATTGGCGAGAAGCCTGCTTAAGACCATAAAGTGACTTGTGAAGGCGACACACAAGATTCTCCCCCTGTCGCCGAAGACCAGGAGGAGGAGACATATAGATTTCTTCATGTAAGTCACCATGTAAGAAAGCATTATTAACATCAAGCTGATGAAGAGACCAAGACTGACTAGCAGCAAGAGCAAGAAGACAACGCACCGTAATCATCTTAGCAGTAGGAGAAAAAGTGTCATGATAATCAATACCTTCAGCCTGAGTGAAGCCTTTAGCAACCAAACGAGCTTTGTAGCGGTCAATAGAGCCGTCGGATTTGTGCTTGAGTTTGTACACCCACTTACAACCAATGGGAATTTTGCCAGGGGGCAAGGAAGTTAAAGTCCAAGTACCATTAGCATGTAAAGCTTGAAGCTCCTCAGTCATAGCACGTTGCCAATTGGGGTCAGTGGCAGCCTCGGCAAAGGAGGAAGGCTCCACAGTCCGACTGACAGAGTTAATGTAAGAAAAATATCTGGGAGAGTAACGGTGATAAGAGAGAAAATTACAAAGTGGATATCGCGTACCTTGTGTAGAACCGGGTTGCGAAGTCGAAGATGGGTGGGATGGCAGAATCACCTGCGAGCAAACGTAGTCTTTTAAATAGGATGGAGGTTTATGGGCACGGGAAGAGGTGCGGGGAAGGGGAGGATTGGTAGGTAGTGGGGGGGTAGGGATGTCCGTGGGTGAAAGGGTGAAAGGTAAGGAAGTAGCGGAGGGGGAAGGAGGGGATGCCGAGAGGGCAGGGGCATGGGGAGGAACGAGTAATGGGGCAGCAAGGGAATCTATGGGAGGCGTGGAAGGGGAGGAAGGTGGAGGAGGGTGAGGCGTCGGGGCAGGAAGGGGTGGGTTATATGTAAAGTCCAGAGGGGGTGGGATGGGTAGGGTAGGCGAAGAGGATGGGATAGGAGGGTGAGAAACGGCATAAGGGAAAGTACTTTCGTGAAAGATGACGTCTCGACTAGTGAAAATGCGGTGATTGTCGAGATCGTAAAGGGTATAGGCCTTTTGTCCATGAGGATAACCGAGAAAAATGCAACGATGAGCCCGAGGGGAAAATTTGGTGGTGGGAGTGACAGAGGTGGCATATGCCAGACAACCAAAGACGCGGAAGTGGTCATAAGATGGGGTTTTCGAAAAGAGAACCTCAAATGGGGATTTATGATGGAGAAGACGGGTAGGGAGACGATTGATGAGATAAGTAGCGGTAAGAACACATTCCCCCCAAAACTTGATAGGAAGATGGGATTGAAAACGAAGGGCGCGAGCGGTTTCAAGAAGATGACGATGTTTTCTTTCAACAACGCCATTTTGTTGGGGGGTATAAACACAAGAAGTTTGTAAAAGCACCCCATGATCAGAGAAAAAACTACGAAGAGATAAAAATTCACCACCATTGTCAGTACGAATGCATTGGATGGTAGTGCGGAATTGGGTAGTGACATAAGCAAAAAAATCCTTAATTAATTGTTGAGTGTCGGATTTATGTTTCATGAGGAAGACCCACGTAAAGCGAGAAAAATCATCCACAATGGATAAGAAATAATTAGCACCAGAAAGAGAAGATTGACGATTCGGGCCCCAAATATCACAATGAATTAAAGCAAAAGGGAAAGTTGATGAAATTGAACTCAAAGGAAAAGGTTGACGAGTTTGTTTTGCCAACGGACAAACATCACAAATATGACTAGAATCAAAAGTGCAATTAAGAGAGCTAGATGCTAAAGCTTGCAAACGAGTGGAGGAGGGGTGACCTAGACGCCTATGCCAGAGGGAGGAGGGGATGGTAATGATGTTGCAGAGAGGTTGACGGGTGGGGAGAGAAGAGGTAAGGGCCACAAGGTAATACAGATCGCCACGTCGCTTACCCACACCAATCATCGCCTTCGAAACCAAGTCCTGCAAAACACACCAAGAAGGAAAGAAGGTTATGGAACACGATAATCCATCTGTAAGTTTACCAACCGATAAAAGGTCCACTCGGAAATTAGGGACACATAAAACATCCTTCAAAGTAACTGAGGAATTTAAAGGAAGAGTGCCGGTAAAAGTAATGGGAGCGGAAGCACCACTAGGCAAAGAAACAGGCGGCAAATGTGAAGGAGAACGATTAACCAAACATGAAGCGGAAGAAGTAATATGATCCGTAGCACCACTGTCAAGAATCCATTGACCATGACGAGAGGTGACAGGTAACAAACCCTGGGCAAAATCAGTAGTGAGCACGGCATTGGCCTGAGGAGGGGTGGTGGTGTCACGTAGAGCAGCTAGAACACGGGAGTGCTGCTCGGCAGAGAGGTCAGGCATGGCAAGCTGCAAGTCATGTAAAGTGGGCTGGGTCCCGTGCACTTGGTGGGTCGCTGGAGTAGAAGAGGAGGCGGGGGCCTGGGTGCCTTGCACGTGATGGGCCTGGGTGAAATTATGGGGCCGGGAAGCAGAAAACCGTGGCTGCTGGGGAGGACTGGAAGGTGCATGGCTGCGGGAAGAACTGGAAGTAGTGGCACGGCGCGGTGGTCGCCACGGTTGGCCATGGAGGGGATGGCCAACGGGATAGCCATGAAGTTTATGGCAGGTGTCTCGGGTATGATAATCAAAATTGCAGTAGGTGCAGTGGAGGGGAGGACGAGCAGAGGAGGGACGGGACGGGCCACGAACAGCCATGGGAACGGCAGAGAAAGCTGCCGAAAAAAAAAAAAAAATTAGGGCTAGGGTTATAAACCTGCTCTGTATACCATGTAGAATTTTGATGTATATTTGCTTGATTGAACAATTACAAGATGAAACATATATATAGGAAAGAAAAAGAACATAAACCTAATTTTGCCTAACTTGCCTAACTTGCCTAACTTGACTAACCTAACTTGCCTAACTTTGAACAAGAAAATTGACTAGCCTACCATTATTCCAACATGTTTATTTCATGCATTTTTACACAAGGATTCCAACCTAACTTTGTTTGTCTAACAGTTACTTGACAACTTCCCTTTTTCTCAGAAAGATCCAAAATATTGTTGAAATCTCCCATTAAGCACCAAGGTTTATCCCCCGAATCAAGCTGAAGTAAATCTTCCCAAAGCTTAGGTTAAAGCTTCTTGTGAGGAAAGACATAGACAAAAGTGACAAGAGATTCAAAGTTTGAGGCATCATCTGTCACAAGACAATGAATAAAACGAGAAGAACTAGAAATCACATTAACAACAACTTTGGAAGAGCTCCAAAACAGAACTAAACCCCCAGCCCTGCTAGTGGGATCACAGCTAACAAGCTGATCAAAATAACCACCATAAAAGTTCCATTAGACCTTATCCACATTCATTTTAGTATTCATTAAACAAAAAATGTCCATTCTAAAACTAGTACACAAAAAACTAAAACTACTTTTAAAGTCCGGCCTCTCTAAGCCCCTACAGTTCCAATCATACACTTCATTGGTCGATTTCTTTAAGCAGGCTCTTGTAACTTGCCTCTGCTTCTGCAAACTCCTTGCAAATTCTCTTCTTTGGACTTATTAGGCCTACATTTGGTCTAGCTGGAGCCTGGGTGGCCTCCGCAGCCATGCTAGCCACCACAACATCTCCAACACTCCTACTACTTTCCACAAAAACCATAAAACACACACACAACAATCAACCACTACCAAACTATAAACATCATCCGGGTAAAACATGCCCATAAGCTTAACAAAAGGCGAACGCTAGCCCAACTGAATTTCAATCAAATTGAACCAATGGTTCTCAACCAAACTAGCACTCCAACAAATATTTTTAATAAGTATACTATTAGTTAAACAATCAGCGTTAATTAACTTATCCCAAAGTAGATATTTAATTCTTATAATTACCTCATTTGGCTGCTCCACACCCTTATCAGTTTTCCTCCAATCCTACACTTGATCTGCACTAGCCACCCATTTGTAATTGGGACCCTTACTACTTTCCTTGGGGACAATGTCTTCCCAAACCTTCTCAAGAGCTCGTTGGTTATCAACCCTTCGACGCCATCTTATGGTCACCATAGTCCACCCTTCTTCATCAAAACCATCACCTTCATTTTTACGAACTTCATCATCTATTGCGTCCAAATTAACCGTAAATCCACTTCAACTAAAACCTTGACAAATAAACCATTGAGATTAAGAGTAACCTCATCCACCCTTAAAATGTCTCCAAAAGGTTGTGCAATGGTTTTGATAATCTTGTACTTCTTGCACTGCACATGGAGTCTTGGCAGCCTAACCTAGAGAACAAGCTTGCTGATAGCATCCATATCACTGAATTGAGTCGTCCATCTCTCCAAATGGAACACCTGTCCTCGAACTTACCAAGGCTCATTGCTGAATACGAAGTCCAGGTCATCCCATCCGAGAACTCCAGTGATCGAGATAAAATTTATTCTTTACACCATTCTTCCAAAGTAACCCTAGCTTGCATTTGATTAACCGAGCCTCCAGGTGTTGGCCGAACATCCTACCTATAAGAACACGAGATTTCATGTACTCCACATTGAGGTTAGAGCAGAGAGTTGTGCTAAACCTAGTAACCCCACGCTTCATGATAAAGGTTCCAAAGGCTTTCTCCACCACCATAGGTTCTTCTCCAGGTTGTGGGAAAGGAAAAGGGTTCGCCCACCTTGGCATATACTGGTCAGAACAAATCCTAGGTCTTCTAGGGTTAGAGGAAGAAAATGCAAAAACTGAGAGTTGGCCATAGAAGCCAGATTAAGCAACCAAAGTGAGAGAAAAGGTAGAGCAGAAAATGTGATCTCCTCCATGCCCAACCCTCACTTAAATACCTAACACCTAGGGCAATCCAACCGTCAAAAAAAATGATGCACTCCCAATGCAACATAGGGCACTCCCCCTCATGACATAAGAGCAACCTCATGATGAAAAAAACTTAGCAAATAATTGGTTGTAATAGGCAGCACAAACCAAGTTAATAAGTAAGAGTGGAAAAATCCAAACCTCATAAAGCTAGTAGCACACACCAAAGCCAAACAGAAGCTCAAAGCCATAAAAACAAAACCAAGAACAAAATTAAAGGCACAAAGACCATGAAAGCATGGCAAAAGCAATAATTATCACAACATGAAACCCTACTCACACAAAGCAAGGTGGAGAACCAGCCAATCAAAATGTCAGAAAGCCAAGCATCTAAAAACTCAATAGAAGATATCCTAAGCGCACAAGACTTACACTCACAGATTCTACTTACCCAAAACCCTAGCCCCAATAATTTAAGACCCTTCCACATCAAACCAGTCCAATCCCAACCAAGGAAGAGTCGTACAAGAAACCAAAGCTTAAAGCAGCAAAGGCACAAACCCCCCATCATAACCCTAAAACTCTAATTAACAACTAAAATTTTCCTCAGTAGGTAATTTACCCAATTATCCATTCGAATTATCTTCTCTAGCATACCTTCAACACCCTTCATAATTAGCATAACTAGTAAAATTACATTTATTACATTTAATTTTCAAACGAATTTACAACACACCTCCCATGGTTGCATGATTTCATCATAGCCCCACTGAGGAAGTTGGCGGTGCCCTCTTTCCCAAATAAATCCTCACGTTCATCTTTTGTAAGGGTAATACTAGGGAGATTAACTTTTTAAACCAAATTTTGTAAATCAAATAATGTCGTAATTGATGATTGGATTACTCTTTAAGTATTGATCAACGTGCTTATTTTCTATTATTGATACATCATTGGTTTACAAATTTGGTCTACCTAACATTACTCCTTTGGATTGTTATCGGCACTTCAAAAATATGCTTTTTACTCTTCCATGAATAAACTTCACCCATATTATTACGAGAAAATATGCAAAATGACTTTCTTAGTTGCTGTTTGATAACCATTTTATCTTCAGTTTTCTGCTTTGATCTCGCATGCCGCAAAAGCATGCTTCGTTGCCCCTAGCAAGGCTAGGCTGATGACAGACTCACACTTCTGACACTCTCATTACTCATGTTGCATCACCAACTTTGAGGTGGCATGTTGAATCGTGGTCAATGCCCTTACCCGTGTTGAATCGTGGTCAATGTCTTTACCTTGCTCCAAGTTGTGGCACCACTAGAATATCTGCTTGCAACTGAAGTGCTTACGCTTTTTTCCCTTGATCGCGAGAGTAGCTTGACTCTTCTTCAGAGCCATGGAATTCGATGGTGGATGGATTTTGAACGGAGACAGAGATGAAAGGGAGAGATAGTCCTACCAGACATACCAAATTTATAAACACAAAATTCCTGCAACAAATGAAACAAGAAAGTGCGTACAAAATAATAATTTGTATTAAATGAGAAATTAGGGTTACAATATCCGATACAAAAATCTGATCTTTTGATTCGATCTCTGGGATGCAAAGTGTGTGTGGTGGGGTTGATCTAAGGGTCAGAGTGACTTGATCTCGAATCCATGAACGTCGCAAGAGTTTGGCTTGTTGCGATGGAGGAACCAGCATGTATGTAGTGGTACTTAATGGTTCTTAACAAGTGTGGAGAAGAATGATGTGAGTTTTCTGAATCTTCTGAGTTTATAGAGTGTTTGAGTGTTTGAGTGCCTGAGAAAGGTGTGGATGTCTGAGTGTGTAAGAGGACCCTTTCTTTGTCTTGGAGCTTCATATTTATAAGGCTCTGCATGTCTTGATTAAAGTTTGATTTTGCCTTGATTTTGGACTTGTTTAATTGACAAAAGAACAAAATTTGATTTAAACTTCGTTTATAATTTGCTTCATCAAATAATCTTGAGGAATCAAATAATCTTTCATTCAATCAAATAAATCAATCACCGTTCATCTTTATTTTGGCTATTCTTAATTTGGCCAATCTCTATGATTTGACATTCATTTCATTTGTTGATTATTTCCTTTAATTTAAATCAAACAAATTAAATCAATTAATTTGTTTGATTTAAAGATAATTCTTTAATAACTATGTTTTTGCCAAACGTTGACTCGTGGCACTCTTTATAACTCGTCTAGTTTTGACGAGTCACAAGATATGTGTGCAACTTATGAGACTCACGGTTCGTGCCACATATACCCTAACATGTCGAAATTTTAATTTATTTGTGTGTATTTATTTCACCGAAATTTACATGTATACAACCTGATTTTGACCTAGAAATATATCTTAAGTGCCTGCAATAAAGTTGTCATCCCACAGCCTAGAAAGGCAATATAGTCATCCGGCCCGAGCAAATATACTTGCCTCTCCCTGTTTCTCCATCTCTTTCGTCACATAACTTCCTCTGTGAGATTTAGATGCGAATTTGACGTGTATATACCAGTAATTTCTTCTTCTCAACAAGACAGTGGTATAATTAACCAAAAAAAAAAAACTGGAATAATCTTTAATAAGATTAATTGGTACATCTTTGATATCCAATGATATTTCCAGTTATGTCACAAATAGTCCATGCAAAGAGAGAGAAAAGAGTTGAAACAAATTGTACCAAGCATTTGCCCGTTGTTTTACAACTGCTTAGAGGTTGAAATAGCTACTAGACTTTTGAAACAACATGAACTCAAAATGGATTGGCCCTCATTTAAGCAATTATGCAAGTATTGAGTGACGTAGGAGTCATGCGGCCGTTGAGCACATCACGTAGATAACTCATTTTCGATACAAAAATTGGTACCAAGTGGAATGACCTGCAATTAAAATCTATATACATGCTTGTCTGACTAGTCAGCAACACTCAACAACTAAGCTCAGATATGTTAGTTTACTTATAGCAGAAGAAGTTAAATTAAAGTTTAGTTTACTCAAAAGTTTCTAGTTAACTAAGATCCAGTTTAGTGCACATTTTAACTTTGATAGGCTTAGTTGCAATGACTTATCTATTTGTGGATTATGATAAGCATATATCACAAGCAAAACGAAGATAAGTAAACTAATAAAGCAATAAATTGCATGGGATGTTTTTGGCAAGAAAAACCCACATTTGGGTAAAAAATAGTCGGGGACTCTCCACTAAGTCAAATCCACTAGTGAAAAAAAAAAAAAAAAAAAAGGTTCTTACAAAGACCACAGAAGCTCAATTCCTAGATCCCTATCCACAGAGCAGCTTTACCTTTGTTTCAGAGTGAAAAAATCCCTCTAAAAATAAATCCACTAGCCGAGTGAAAATGAAATCCTAGATGACGCTTTTATAGTGGGCTTTGTTTCAGACAAAGAGATGAGATGTAAAGGCCGCATGTCATGTGCAAAAACGATCGGAAAAGATCTAAGGTTGAAAAACACTCTCGGTGAAAAAGTTGTTAGAAAGCCCATGTGGATTGTCTTAAAGTGTGTGCCTAGCTTGCGTGAAAGCAGCGAGAAGTTTTGGCTAGACAAAATGAACTGGAAATAATGGCATGAAATGCATATGTATGAACAAACCTTTGATGAGAGAATTTAAGCTCTTAAAGTTATGTTTCCAGTAGCATGATCCCAAAGAAGCAATTAAATTCTAAAACTAACTAGAGTATGTGTGGTACAATTTACAACATTTGACAAGGGAATCCAAATAATAAAACTAGACTTCACAAATATCATGCTGGAATGTCAACATCAAACTCATAACCAATTGTCAACTAGTAGAGAGGTCAAAGACAATTGAACTTTTCAAGCTATTATACGAAGTTTCATGTGGAGTCCATGTTCAACAAATTCTTTCTTAGCTTAGGACATCGTTTTGAGTGTTTAAACAAACCATTTTTATGACATACTATAACTGGCTCATGTAGGTGCTTTTCTTAATTTTGGAAAAAATAATTGATGAGAGATGCAAATTGAAGATGTTATGAAACACGTTACATGCAAATTTTGATTAAATAAGGGTATCAAAGTCGAGTTTTTCTACTATGTATAAATGTTGGTATGCAATACCTTGCTCAAATCAACGGCTAGATTTAACCATTTTAGATGAAAGTAATGTAATGTAAAATTTTCATCAAATCAAATTGCAATAGAACTATGCAAGGTACTTGTAACTTGGTGAAAAACATTCGCCCATGCAACTAAAGAAGCAATTTAAATTCCTATCTCCAAATCTCATTTGAAAAAGTTTTACGCAAAAATAATATGACATTATTACAGGGCATCAAAATTATGGGGCCCAATAACAGGCCCAATCAAATTCACATTTTTAAATTGACCAATTTTAAGATTGGGCCCGGGTTAGGGCAGTGAAACCCGCCCAAAATCAAGCCCTAGGAGGAAAAGTAAATAGAAAAATCACTAGTTTGTGTTTTGGCTTAGCTTCCATCGTCGTTTCGAGGTTTCAATTGCTTGCATTCGTCGACGCAGCTCTCCGGCGTCGTTTTGGCTTGATTTGCATTTCAGGTTTGTTTATTTCCTCACCTATTCTCCCCCCATAAAATCCTTTCCCCCTTGTCTCTCTCACCTTTTTCTTATCAGCTCCCTGTTTGGTTTCTGAGAAAATTTAATTTACAAACTTTCTCATGAAATTTTCTTCTCAAATTACACCACCACCGTTTTGGGCACTTCAATTTCTGAGAAATTGAAAGTAAAACCAGCTTATAACATAACTGACACAGAATCTCCTTTTCTTTTCTTGTATTTTCTCAGAAGCCAAACAGGGGTTTGTTATTTTGGTTGTGTTATATGATTGAGGATTAGCTCTGTGTTAAGATGAAATAGTAAGCTATGGTTTGCAAAGATTATAGCGTTGTGAATATGAACTTTTGAATGTATAAAGGGTTTCTGTGGCGGTTTAGCCGTGAATTGGATTAATTATCTTAATTGGGGTTTTAATTAGGGTTTTGGCTTTGGGTGCTGTTTCTTAGTTGCTCCAACTTCAGGTAGTAATTGTGTTGTGAAGGTAAATGAAGATGATAAGTGGAGCTTTAAGTCTTAGTGTTTGTGTATTAGCTGAGAGAAATGGATCTTGCTCCATTTGCTCGGTTCCTCGAAAAGTACAAGAGGAATTGAAATGCATTGTGATGCATGGTGATGTTCCTCTGGGAAAATTTTCGGTGCATTGATGGTTTTCTGTTGAGTCTCGCAATTTGGTTTTAGGATAGCGAGAGGAAAATGCTCGAAAGTGTTCTTTCAACGAAAACCTATATTTCGTTGTTCTTTCATATAACCTTTAGATTAACATATTTTCTTGATTAGAGTCCTTCATTTGTCATGAATTAAGAATGACAGTTCATGGGAAGAATTGTAATTTGAAACAGCGGACAAATTCCACAGATACGTCTTTCTTAGAATCTCTCGAGTGAAAACAAACTGCGGGGTGTGAGGCTCTTTCTGTAATGATCTCTAAATTCTAGTATTGGACATATTGGAAAATGCTGGGATTAAGAGCTTAATTACAGATCTCTTAATTTGATCTGAGTGGGTTAAGAGTGCATGAAAAGGTTTCAATTCTAATGTAAATGAAGTTTTTTTATTGCTGGTTCTTTCTTACTGCCACAGTTTCCAATTGACCTCATTCACATATGTATGTGATGCTTCCTGGAGCTGAAATTCAACGTTTATAGTATAGAAGTTAGAGGCAAAAATAGAGTGTAATCGATTCCTTGTGAAATTTGATGGAGCTAATACACTGGGGGATATTTTCTGTAGTTGGCAGTAATGGAAATGATACCGGTGGACCCTTATGGGACGAATCCTGGACCAATTGATGGCTCAGTGCTTTATGATCAGGACAAGCATGTGTCTTCAGCAGTTTGGGATGGACAGGTGCAGTGGACCATTTAATGACCCGTATAAGGCTTTTTTACCATTTCCTTCCGTCTTTTTTAATGAACCAATTTTTTTTCTGATCTGGATGATAAACATACATACTTTTAACTTGCCTACAGGAGCGTGGTGCACTCAGATGCCACGAACACACTTCAAAGCTTGATCAATGGACACTCACGGAAAACAGGTTGAGTTGGTAGAGAAGGCTGGATTTGGTTATTTAAGATGGATTCCGGCAATTAGTCTAGATAACCCGCTGATTTCTGCACTAGTTGAAAGGTGGAGGAGAGAAACAAACACTTTTCACCTTAATGTTGGAGAAATGACGGTAACTCTTCAGGATGTCACACTATTGCTCGGACTAGCAATTGATGGAGAACCTGTAATTGGTATAACACATACCACCTGCAACTCAGTTTGTGACAGGTATCTTAGAAAAGTACCAGAGCCTAGTTATACTAGCGGTGGAATGGTGAAGCTAAGCTGGTTGAAGGAGTTCTTTTCCCATTGTCCCAAAGATGCACCACTTGAAGTGATTGAATGTCATACCCGTGCGTACCTCTTATACCTTGTTGGAAGTACAATATTTTCCACAACTACTGGGAATAAAGTCCCTGTCATGTACCTTCCACTGTTCGAGAATTTTGACGATTGTGGGAGATATGCTTGGGGGGCAGCAGCATTGGCATTCTTGTACAGGGCACTGGGCAATGCGTCCCTGAGATCTCAAAGTACAATTAGTGGCTGTTTAACGCTACTACAGGTTATCTACATGTCTTCTTTTCTATTTTCTATTTTGTTCAGCAGTTCCTTTGGATCTTATTTGCAATTGCTTCTTGTCGATATCTCATATTTTATATCATATCATATTTTTGCAGTGCTGGAGTTACTTTCACCTAAATATTGGACGACCAAAGCTCATATACTGGTTCAATGCATGATCGTTTTCCTTTTGTGCTTAGCTGGAAGGGAAAGCAAAGTGGGCCAACAACAAACCGTGATGTAGTGTTTTACCGTAAAGCTCTGGATTCCTTGAAACCATGTGATGTAAGGTTTCTCTTCCTCTTTCCGTTGATAACTAATTCAGTTTATATCTAATTTTAATGTGGATTCAGAATACATTTGACATGGTGTTGGCTTATAGGTGGAGTGGCTTCCGTATAGAAATATGGACAGTACAGTGATTCCAGACGATATCAAGAGCAATCTGATTATAGGGAGGTCCAAAACAATGCTAATATGCTTTGACAAGGCAGAAAGGCATCTCCCAAATCGTTGCTTACGGCAATACGGCAAGTTTCAGTCAATCCCAGAGGATGTACAGCGATGGGAGAGAAAAAGTCGCGGAGTTGATGGTGGGGTTGACTTGTCAGGGAAAATGGAGTCAGAGCTTAATGAATGGCTGGAACGTCGATATCATATTGTGGATGGTGATGATGGTGCAGATGAAAGTGATTATATGCTGTGGTACTTGAAAATTACACGGAAATTTATAGGGAGGCCTATATCTCTCTCGTCTGAGTTTCAAAGAACGGTAAGCTTGTTAATTAAATAATTAATTGGTTATTGTCAAATGCAAGGATAAGAAAATGGTGTATTATTTTAAATGATAACTTTATTAACTTTTGCAGAATGCTGGGTTGAGGGATATTGCACGCATAGCAGATACATTCATAACAGATGGGTTGAACCAACAACAAGCTGATTCAATAGTAGAAATCAGGAATATTGCGCATCAATGTTTGAGGGACCAGGTAGGTGGTCCGGACATACCATCACCTACCCCACAAAGCGAATTTGGGAAAAGGATAAGAGGAAAGGAGAGGGTAAGAAGAAAAGGTATGGGAAAACGTTTGCGGAAGGATGATCCAGCACAATATATTACTGCTAGTGAGGATGATCAATCCCAGTTTTGTGGTGCCGCTGGCAGGGTTGAGCAGTTACATTTTCAGGATGCACATAGTGCAGATCATTCACAACTATATCCTGTTGGCAGTGAGGTCACTGCTTTGCATATGATCAGCGGAGATGGTGAGCATGAGAATATGCAGCTATGCAGTGCCGACATGGGGTTTGATCATTCACAGCTAAGCCATGCGGCTGCTGTGGAAGGTAATTCTGAGCTAATCTGTGCAGTTGTGAAGGTCGATGACACAGAGCTTTTTGAAGCAACCGAAGAGATCGACTCACAGCTTTGTGATGCAATAAATGAAGTCAAGGACTCACAACGGTCTGATTCAACTAAGGTAGTCAATCCACAGATTTGCAATGCAACTAAGGTCATTGACTCACAGCTCCATGGTGCACATAACGAGGTTGATGACTCAGAGCTTCCTCTTGCTTCGAGTGAGAGTGATCCACACCCATCTAAAGTTGAAGCAGAGGTTGTTCCAGAGCCTTCTCTTGAACCTCCTCAAGATATTGCGCAGCAGAGTAAATGTAGTGTTGTAGTATAAAGTAAAGGCACTATCATGCAATTTTCTGAGGTAATCCTTTCACACATGAGTAAAGACGTTCACTCTCAGTCCGATAATTAAGTGTTAAGTCTTATTTCTACTGTTTTCCGCTTGCATTCCTCCTATACCAGATGAATCTATAATTCCTTATTATTGTTTGACAGGCAGCGCGATCCTAACTATACAGAATTACGAATATGCAGCTAGATTAGCAGTCTTGGAAAAGTAACAGCTCCACATATATATGGCTAGTTGACTATGCTTGGATTCATGTTGATTATTGTACTCTTTTGTGCTGTGCAACAATTTACTACGTCTTTAGTTTATCGATTACTCATTTTTGTTTCCAAATGTTAAAATTACCGGAACTTGTATTTGTTTAGGTACAGGAGATAATGTTCCACGCACTAGTATAATTTCGTGTATAGTTTGATCCCTTTGAAAATTTTGATGTTTCATTTCTTGCCGTTATTTTTGTTACTTTGTGTACAAGTGTACTGGGGAAGGGGGAAATTAAACTCGGGATCTGGGTGAAGGGTGAATGCTTCTAAGTAACTGAGCTATAAGTTTTTTGCATACCGTTGGATATTTATAATTCTGGAAGAAAATGCAAGGGACAAATGGGCCCATAAGTCTGAATCCTTCCTTGTATTTGTCTAGGTTAAGGGTAAATCATGTTTTAACTTAGGGTAATAAATGATTTTTGAGGCACAACTATTTCTTTCACTAGAATTTACATAAGATGAAGACAACAACTTTGCAACTCGCATTCAATTTTAGTTTTTCTAATAAGATGCATATTCATTCAAAACACTGAGAAACTGGTTGGTTGGATCAACCCTTTTGTATTTTTTTTTGGATCAACCCTTTTGTGTTTGTACTGGCCAAACCCTTTTCTAAATTTATGAGTTACTAATTACTTTTTTGAAAAGGCTGAAGTTGTTCCAAAAAACAGTCTCAAACAGTTCTAGACATTAAATGGAAATTAGCCATACGATGCACGATAAATAGTCACGATGAAGTGATCCTCAAGATTCTCACAAAGAGAATTCAAAGAGGATTCTCATCCGTTTGAGTTGAAGGGTTTTGTTTATTAAACTCAATAGTTTACACCCGAATTTCATGTTGGGAGAGTGCAAGAGTAGCAATTAGTTTCCTCTTGTTGACACAAGTGCCCACTTTGGAGCCGCTCTAGTAGTGCGAGTTATGTTCTCTTGATCATCAGGTGACCAAAAGTTTATGGTCACTTATCATTAGATTTGTTGATAACTTGATATCAATAGTAGAGATTAAAATACTAAAATTATTTATTTATTTATTTATTTTTATCATTTGTATCAAATCAAAGAGTAATTGAACATGCATCCCTTTGTAATGTTTTGTAAAAAATATTAGGGTAAATTGTGGTTTACCCCCTGAACTATCATCCCAGTTGAAATTGACCCCCTAAACTATTTTTTAGTAAATAACCCCTGAACTATTTAAAATCAGTCAATTAACCCCTTGCCGTTAGATTGCAGAATCAATTCCGTCAAATTCAAAGGCAAATTAGTCATGTAATCAGCAATTGTTATTTGTCAGTTATAAATACTAATAAAATTGACACATGGACACAAAATAATTCAAAAATATATAGCATAATGAGAAAACATAAAAAACCAAACGTTTACATAACGGACCATCTTATATTGTCATTACACATTATTTTGTTTTCGCATGTCATAATTACATTGTTGGTTATAGTTAATAAGTAAGAATTGATGAAGGAAAAACTAATTTTCCATTGAATTTGATGAAATAGGTGGATGGAATCTACCGACAATGGGTCAATTGACTTATTTCAAATAGTTCAGGAGGTTAATTTACCAAAAAAATAGTTCATGCAATCAATTTCAACTGGAGTAATAGTTCAAGATGTCAAATGGCAGTTTACCCAAAATATTAATAAATTGTGTTGTTATCAACACTACTACAAAGATAAGCTTCTCACTGTATTATTAAGAGAAATAATGTAGAAGATGTTTGATAAACATTTCATTTTCAGTTTTTTGAAATCTCAAAACTAAAGTATTGTTTCATAATTACTTTCAATTTTCAAAAAATTAAAAATTAAAAATAAAAGACTAAAGGTAGTTATCAAATAAGATTTATATTTAAAAAAAATAAAAACGAAATAATTATCAAACAATCTTAGGAGAAAATTTTCACTATGACCGGAACACGGGTGGCACACCATGTGTTTTTTTATAAGTGGTTGGAAATTATATTTTTTTAAGTTATTAACTTTTTGACACACATATCACACTATTTGTATAGAAATACATGATGTATCATTTCATGTTCCAGCCACACAGAGTGTTAATAATAGAAAATCAAACAAATAGTCTTTAAATCCCAATGAAATAATAGAATTCCAAATCCAATGCTTGGGAAAAGTGAAACATGCCCTTATTTTCCACAACACTCAACTTTCTGCCTAATGTTATAAGTTCCCTCAGTCTCTTGACCCTACCTTTGCTTTCAAATTATCAAATTCTCGCTCAAATGTCATGACTCATGGCTTCCCCCTCCCACTTATTATCACTCCTATCACTACAAAGCTTCAATTACTTCTCCTCTCTTCTCTCTCTCTCTCTCTCTCTCTCTCTCTCTCTCTCTCTCTCTCTCTCTAGCACTCACGTGAGGTGAAAACTTGAAAGCCCCCATCTATAAAACCAGACAACAAAATGCTGCTACTCTCGAAACCTCCCCTATACCTTGAGACAATGTGCCTTCCCTTCCCACTCTCTCTCCCTCCACTCCTCCTCCTCCTCCTCCTATCTCTCCCTCCTTCCACCACCACCGCCACCAAAACCATGCTTCCATCTGAATCAGAAACCCTGTTCAAGATCATGGAATCCATGTCCTCTGATCAACCCTGGAGGATTTCCCATCCTACCCCTTGCCAGCCCTCCCCCTCCTGGCCAGGAATCGAGTGCAAAATCGGAAAAGACAACCGCCCCCATGTCTCCCGGCTAGATTTTGGCACCCCACCAAACCCCTCCTGCAAAAAAACAGCCACATTCCCTTCCCTAATCTTCTCCCTCCCGTTTCTCCAATCTGCTTTCTTCTTCAACTGCTTCACTCACACTAAAACCACCCTCTCTGTTTCTCAAAACAGAGCAGTCCTCCCCTGCCTCCCTCCAGCAGCTCAGCCTCCGGTCCAACCCGGCACTCTCCGGCCCAATCCCACCACAAATTTCCGACCTCAAGTCCCTTGAGATCCTCACATTGTCACAAAACCGCCTCTCCGGTCCGATCCCCTCGGAGATTTTCACCCTCCGGAGACTAATCCACCTTGATTTGAGTTACAATGTGCTCACAGGCACCATCCCTATGCAGCTGGGCAGTCTCAGAAACCTCCAAGGCCTTGATTTAAGCTACAATTCTCTCACAGGCTCCATCCCAGACACAGTTGGTCAACTGGGTTTGCTTCAAAAAGTTGACTTCAGCTCCAATCAACTCACAGGCTCCATCCCCAATGGCGTCGAAAAGCTCGGTTTATTGGTTTTCATGGCGTTAAGCAACAACAAATTAAGTGGGAAATTTCCGAAAGGGTTGGAAAAGTTGCAGAGCTTGCAGTATTTCATTTTAGACGGCAATCCAATGCACATCCCTCTGCCATTGGAGTTTGGTAAATTGGTGAAGCTCCAAGAACTCAGGCTGGCTAATTCCGGCTACTCGGGCACCATCCCGGAATCCTTCTCCCAGCTCAAGAATTTGAGCACTCTGTCGCTGCAGAATAACCGACTAACGGGCGAAATCCCGGTCGGGTTTGGGAGCCTCTCGCACATTTACCACATGAATCTGAGCAGGAACATGTTGGGGGGTGTTGTGCCTTTCAATGCAAGTTTCCTCAAGAGGTTGGGGAGGAACTTGGACCTCAGTGGAAACCCAGGTCTCTGTGTGAGTTCCTCAGAAGCTCACAGTTTGAAAGTTGGAGTTAATGTCTGCGGAAGCAGTGATAAGATTGCTTCACCTGCACTGCCATTGAAGAATTCTCAAGCTCCTTCTCCATCTCTGCTCTCCATAAAACCATTTTTTCTGTATGCTGTTTTGTGTGTTTTGGGATTACATCATCAGATGTTTTTAGTGTGACAAAATATATTTGTGCTTAATTTAGTCTGATTTGTTGATGATTATTGTGTAAAATATTATTTAATGGATGTAAGAATTTTATGGGAGTTTGCAAGATTTGATGTGTATTTAGGGGATTTTCTTCTGAACATATGATAAGATATTACATCAAATTATCCAAATTTAAAAAAAAAAAAAATGATTTCAAATCCATCGCCTTCCTTCCGTGATGTTTATTGTGAAGCAAAATTCTTGACGGATGTATTAATTTTTTTTTTTTGACAAATGATAGTGTAATCTACATTAATTTACTGAGAGAGAATTTGAACATAAACATCAAGTGTAAGGACATACTCTTAACCAACTGAGTTATAAGCCACTTATAACAGGTGCATTAACTTGTTATAGTCACGTAGTGCATAATTGTAATACTTAGCTAAACTCTATCTTTAAGCGGTGTATAAGCAGAAGAGAAAAGTATAAGCAGAAGTACTAATCAATTAGTAATTTAATATGGTATTAGTCAGTCGTCTAGGATTGCTCCACAATATTTTGCATAATCAAAACAGAGCATTTGATATGTTATCACCTAAAGATCATGCCTACAAAATTTCACTGAAATTGAAGACAATTACTTATCTAACCAGCTCATATCAAATATGCGAACACAATATCATCTATAAACAAAAACAATAATTCCATGGAAATATGCAGCTCCTGATTTTGACACCTACTTTTGGGGAGATTACCATTAGCAAGCAGGCGATAGCATCAACTGACAATATGTGTGTGTGTATATATTAAGAATGAGTCTCACGTTGATAGGAGGAGAGACTTTGCATGGGCTAAGTAAGTTGGACTACTCCTCATATGTCAATTGGTTTTATGGTGAAACCTCAACTTTTTTCATGGTATCATAGCTAGATTGTCCCATATGTGAAGCCAAATGGCCACACGCGCTCTACATCATCCCGTTGTGTTGTTTACGTGTTAGATTTAAAAATTCGTCACACGTGGGGATGTGTTGAGAATAAATCCTACATTAATAGGAGAAGAGACTTGCATAAGTTTATAAGTAAGTTGAGCTACTCCCATATGATGAAACCCCAACTTTTTTCAATATATACGTATACATGTTGGTTCGATTGAAGGTTTAATTGCTGGGGACCATAACCAGATAGATTTGTCTTTGAAGAGTAGAAATCAATTTAAACCAGAATTTCTATATTGCTAGCCACCCAAACCAAATGTACAACAATTCAACGTGTTTGTTTGCTCAGTAAGAAAAGAAAAGAACAAAACTTGGGTAAATTTGTAAACTTGGTCAAATAATGAAGGGGAAAAAGAAGCGACAATGGTGGGGTGGGGTATTATTTTGCAGGACATTTGCCCCTGTGGAGGGACGGGTTGATGAAACAAGACCACCTGCGTGCAGAGGAGGACTGAATTGCAAAGGACACATGAACCTCTTAATAGCTGGATCCCATTACACCTTCATAGACATTTGCAAAAAAAAAAAAAATAATAAAAAAAAAAAAATCAATCACTTCACTATAAATAGTGTTTTGGTACGTCATATCCTATCAGAACAATTAATTTTAGTTTTATCACCAAAAAAAAAAAAAACCAATCAATTTTAAAAAATAAATCACATCAACGGGTCTAATGATTTAACAAAACCCCATCAATTTTAAGATATAGTGTTTTGGCACAGCATTTACCGCATGCTCAATTGTTTCGTTCTAGTAAAGTGCCCTAGCTATAGATTTACCTACCTCTCCGTTCGAGTCGTGAAAACATTCATTTTGTAAAGTAAAAGTAAGATTACGTATGGTAAATGTTCATTCTGTTCATTGCAAAGCATAAAGCCTTATTGGCTTGAGAATCACTCTAATCAATTTTAAATCCCATATAGTAGTTCTTACTTGCTTCGTATTTACAAGCTTGAATTCGTGTAAGCGAAAATTTTACTATTATCTAGTGTATAGCATACCAGAAAATGATGAAAATCCCTCAGTATGGATTAGGACCTCACATAATTTTTTTTATATGTATTTTACTTGATAATCCGAGGGGAAATGCTCAATCAGACGTCTATGCATGTGAGTAATTCTAAGGCATGCATATTTACTAGAATATGATCATGCAACACAAAATCAATAAGCTTCGAGTGAAGATGTTCAATTATGTTTTAAGCAGCAAAACTCCTCTTCTCCAATTTGAAATACCCTCTGCCAAGAATAATTGTTGACAAACACCCATGCGCGTATATCAAAACCCTAATTTTAACTAGTTCAATTTCATCAATGACTTTGCGCTAAGCAAAATGTTGATCAAAGTTGATATATCTCATTAATACTTGGCTAAGACATTACAAAATACACCCAAATCAAATAATTATAATGAAGTAAACGTACCATCATCTATAATTTAGTCTGATGACATAACATGTATGTTATTTGTACGAGGGACCTTAGATCGTAGAGTGAATATCGTTGTACCAAAGCCCTCATGCAGCCCTTATTATCAAATCCAATTTCCAGGTTCTAGGAAACAGTTCGAACAGGTAGAGTCCAAACTATCACACGCCCATCCCGGACCCAAACGCAATAAAGGAGAAATAAATATAAGAAGGACGTTGATACTTTCACCCTCAACCGAATTAACAATGTAGTGAGTAACGCAATATCTTATAAGAACATGTAGAGTTTGGTAAATTAATTTTCGATGTGTGACATTTCTTCACATCCTCATACACTTTCCTTGCCTATGACGAGTTTTTAAACCTTACATGTGGGCTGCACAAGAGTGACGTCGAACACTCATAACAACCAGATCTAATACCGTAAAAGAAGTTAAGGTTTTAGCATAAAACCAATTGACCATATAAAAACAAATATACTTCTTAAAAGCAGATTTGAAATTTGGTAAACTTCCGATACAAGACATTTCACTACAATTAATACAGAAGGAGGGGGGATGGTGAATGTAGCCAGGAGAGTAGTGGGGGACTCGGGCAGGAACTAGCTGTCTGTCACTTTCTTTGTTAACCAAAGTTCATATAAGGAGAAAATAGTTGCAGAGAACCTCACGTGGGAAAAGGAGTCCTTTGAGCAAGTACCAATTTTTACACCACAGTATCATTGTTTCTCAAGCCTCATCTTTTTTCCTTTTCAGTTTTCACCTATATATTTTGTGAACACATCGGGATGCTTATTGCCTTTAGGTAAAATTCAAGATGTCATATTCAATCATGTACGTTCATCTGATATATATGTGACCCTTTACATACATACATACATATATATACACACACACACAATTTGGGTCCCTAGATATATGTGTATATAGAGATCCAAACTTCAACGATTCGAATTATCTATATTTTTTATTTGACAAATATTTTGCAAAGACGATTTATGAAGTGCAACTTGAAAAATAGACAGTTCGCTTTGTTAAAGTTCAATATGTTATTGGTCCTGCAACTAATTCTCATTTTTTGAAAAAAATGAGAATCTCTGTGTGTGTTAGTTGAGCTTTGACGTGCAAGGCATGCAGTTTCTGCACACATCATCTCAAAGGGGCCATTTTAATCTCTGGTCTGTTGAAATATATCAGCTGTATATGTCCAAGTGGTATTATTTGCCATTATGCTACAAATTGTTAACATTTAGATCGAGCAGAAAATTTGGCCAAAAACCTCGGAAAAATTCGCGATAATCGAAGACTTTTAAATAGAAGAGAAAGTACGGTAATTAGTATAATATAAATTTTATAATTAAGTTCTTACTAAGTGGGGCACAAGCTAAGAAGGATTATCCAAGCTTTCTCTCTCTCCTCTTGAAAAGTTGATTTCGACTCTCGTCTCTTCTCTTCTTTTATCATGACAAAGATATTTTAATTCCAGAATCTGATCGACTACAAGATTGTACGACTACAGACATAACTGATATGTTTCATTGTCCTATTTTTTGAAAGATTTTTTAGCAAGTGCATGGTAACTTGCTTTGTAACTGACTAGAGGTTTTCCCTCGCTTGATTTTGACCCCAAGTCATGCACAGCTTTTTGATTTGAAGTAAAAAAAAAAAAAATAGTTGAAACTGAAGCGAAACATGTTTGTCGCGAGGCTAACTTTTTTTTTATTTTTTTTATGATACTTGCCAAGTTAAATTAGGAGCATTATTTCTTGGTTATATTTCGAATGCATATCTCAACTAATTACTCAATTGTTCTTTGATTTGTTTTGGTCAGAATCAGATTATTGAAGAGATTATTGTATATGATTTGGTTTTATCTACAAAGGGGAAATTAGGAAAGGATTCAATTGTCCTTTCTTAGTGGAATGGCATTCTTAAAGTAGGGTTTTCTACTTTTCTTTTCAAACACATAATCCCATTCAAACTCAAGGAAGAAAAACATAAGAAGAATGACTCGTTTGAAATTGCTTCTATAAGGGCTGGTTTGGTATTGTTGTACTTTGAAAAAAAACTGCTTCTGCTGTGCTGTGAGAATAAGTTCATTTTTGCTGTTTCACATTTCTAGCTTTTTTTTATCCAAAAATTTTGAAAATAAGTTGTTTTTAAGTGTTTACCAAACACCTTTTTGAGCTTAGCACTTTTTTATACCCACTTTTTATAAAAGCACCTCAGTACCAAACCAATACTAAGAAACACTTTTGTTCATAAACATTTATAAGCAGAAGTGCTTTCATTAGAAACATGTTAAATTTTTTATTAAATTTCTAAGTGCTTGCTTTATGAACAAACACTTGAAAGTGCTTCTTGAAAAATAATTTGACATGTCATTTTTACGCATTTGAAAGAGCTTTTGAACTAAATTCTTAGTAAAAATACAAATAATGTCTGAAAAAAATACTTGAAGTATTTCTTGGACAAAACAGATAACTGGTGTTTTTTTCACAATGCATTTCAAGTGTTTTAGAATCCCAAAATATTTTTACCAATAAAGAGGATGGGCCATATTTTGGGCCTTCACCATCCCACCCATAAACCCAACCCAAAGAATGCCTTTGCCGGACTCAATTTGCAGACCAGACCCGGATCCCGTACAAAAACTGAAAAGGAATCCACCGATCCCCTTCCTTTCTTCTTCGTTCAATTTCACTCTCTCTCAGCAAAATCGCCATGGCTGTGGCTTTGAAGCTCCTGAAGCAACTCCGAGCACCGCACACCACCTCCACAATCCTCCACCGCAATCTCAGCCCACGGCTTTCGAGCATTCACAGCGCAACCAGACTCTTCTCAGACGCTCCTCCTCAAACCGAGCCTCTTCCGGCTCCACCGCCGCTAAACCCACGTTCTCCTTCCCCGTCGTCTCTGAACCAGTACGAGCTCGCCAAGTTCGCCGCCGTTGCCGAAACCTGGTGAGAGCTTCTCCCTTTTTAGCACACAAGTCTCAATTTCTGCACTTGAATTTGATTTAGCTGTGGTATGATTGTGATTTATTGACCAATGAGAAGGAAATTTACGTATGAGATTAAAGCTATCGTAATTTTCAGGTGGGATTCTGAAGGGCCGTTCAAACCATTGCATATGCTGAATCCTACAAGACTTGCTTTCATTCGCTCCACGCTTTGCCGACATTTCGGGTAAATTAAAGGTTTTCTTGGTGTGAATTTAGTGTTTAGTAATATCTCCAAATTGGTAGCTGCCAAGTAATTAAGAAAGTAGATTGCTTTGGTGCCTGGCATTGTCTGCGGAAGTGAAATTCGTAAAAGGAATGATACTTTGCTAACATTTTTCAAGACTTGGAAAGCTAAATGATGATTCTGTTTATCATCTTTCGTGTTTCTGATCTTCAGGAGGGATCCGTTGTCCCCTAAGCCATTTGAAGGTCTCAAATTTATTGATGTTGGCTGCGGTGGTGGAATTCTTTCTGAGGTATGTTATCGTGCACCTTCCCAGGAGCATTTACTCCTCTTCACTGCACGTGAACCGTCGTGTTTATATAACTGTACCTCCTCCCTGTGGTGTGCTGATTCCCTATTAATATGTTCTGCATTTTACTTGTACAGCATTTTGAATCGTTTTTTTTCGGATATGTTTAATATAAGCAATAGGCTGATAGCTTTACCTAGCAATTGTTTTTGGTTAAGGATTCATGCTAATCTTTAGCCTTTTTCAGCCTTTAGCTCGAATGGGAGCTACTGTGACGGGAGTTGATGCAGTGGAGAAAAATATCAACATAGCTCGTGTTCACGCTGTATGGCTTGAAATTTTATTTGATCGAGTATTTGTCCATGTGCAAGTACTTTGTTTTGTAAAGTGTGTTGACATACTTCTAAACTTTATTCATTCACACAGGATTTAGATCCAGTGACTTCGAGAATTGACTATCAATGCACAACAGCTGGTATGTGCTAAATTTTTTCCTATTCTGTGTTGTAAAGTTTTTGGAAATGCATTCAATTAATATTTAATCTTTCTTGCATCTTTCTAGAATGCGTGGCTTTCCACTCTTAATGAACACATTGAATGACTTACTTTGAACATTGATGGTGTATAAAGTTAGGATCTTGATTGCATCCGCTACAATCAAAACCTGGCAAATACGATGAAGAATACCCAACTGATATTATAATCACTTAAAAACCGTTTTCGTTCTGAGACATTCTTTCATGATATAATTTGTATTGTGATTCTTTTCAGTATCCTTCTTGTAATAAAAATCCTATTTGAAATCTGTTCTGTGCAATTTACATTTTGTGTTGGTATCAGTAAATGTTGTTGATCTTGAAAAGCTTGTTCGACCTGAAGTAGCAATTGTGTTGTTATGAGTTTTGTAACTTTTTTATTTATTCTGTAAGTGATATAAATTCATTGTTGAATATCTTTTGTATATTTCTTTTATCTCATATAGTTTTCTTTTAACTTGAGGCTTGTGTTCTTCCATTTGTACACAGAAAAGCTAGTTGAGGAACAGAAGAATTTTGATGCTGTGTTTGCTTTGGAGGTATGGTCTTAAGAATCTACAAACTGCCTATATGATTCTCTCGCTTCAGTGTTTACAAACTGCTATGGTTTATTCTAATTTGGTTGTAAATTAATGATTTTACTCAAGGTAATTGAGCATGTTGCAGACCCTACTGAGTTCTGCAAATCTCTATCAGCCTTAACTATCCCCGGTGGAGCTACTGTTGTTTCAACTATTAACCGTTCTATGAGAGCATATGCTACTGCCATTGTTGCAGCAGAGTACATCCTCCGCTGGGTATAATTCATTATTACCTCCTGCAGTTGATTATGTGTTTTTGATTTACCATGCAACATCTGTTGTTTTGCTGCAAATTTTGCTATCTTTTCTAATTTTTGTTGCATTCTTGTTTGAAATTTTAGGGCTTCATTATCTCTAATTCTTTTTTACTACCTCGTCTTTCATGACGGTATAATCATCGCATTATTTTCTACATAAAATATACACCCAAGAGACGTTTAAAACGTTGCCCATAAATTTAGATCAGTTTTGTTTGAGTAGTTGGTGACCCTCACAGTTAGCCAATTGCGACTGACATGTGATTAATCGTATAGCAATGTCTATTTAAAATGATTAAGGGAATTGAAGAATGCCTCTAGATTTATTTTATTTACAAGATCAAGTTGAATAATAGGTTTTGACTCTTTGGCGTGGAAGTCATACTCTTAAGACATTCTAACAAACCTGATTCTCATATATGTGAATAATATGATTCCTGTTTTATTAGAACTATCCAACCGATATTTCTCATAGAAGACTTCAGAAAATGTGACTCACAAAATGATGTCAGATTTCAAATTTTAAGTGCATTAATATGTCCCGAAACGCATCCTGAAGCGATACTAATATTTCATATTATATCATTGTGAATACAATTGTGACCATTGAAAGGGAATTAACTCTTATTCAATTCAGTTGTACCTCTAGATATTCGCTATGGATGTGGAACACCTACCGTATTCTTCAGTGTTTTGCTTTGAAAATAGTTTGATCTAGTCATATTTACTCAAGTCTATTCAACTGTTGATAACATTTTGACTTGAACCAAATCGATTGTTTTACAGCTTCCTAAAGGTACACATCAATGGTCCAGTTTTCTCACTCCCGAAGAACTAGCCCTGATCCTGGAGCTTGCTTCTATTTCAGTAAGCCGGAAAAACTTTTATCACCCTAGGAATGTCAGCTATTTTTATCCATGCACTTGTCGCTAAAGCTTGTTTTCTGTTTGGTTGGTTTTGTGCAGGTCCAAGAGATGGCTGGGATCGAGTACAATCCTTTGACAGGAAGATGGTCTCTATCTGATGATGTCAGTGTAAATTTTATTGCTTATGGTACCAAAACAGCGACATCCAGTTTATAAAGGTAAGGAAATATTTTCCATGTTATACCTCTCGGTTTGAATGAAAATTTTGTTTAGTAATTTGTTCCTCTCTCTTTTCCCCTCCCCATTGTTTCTAATTTCTTTGTTGAGCTGCATCCAATGAGAAAGGAAATTCCGTCATACACACAGGCATCGTCATACGGATTTTCTAAGGTCGCACACAAAAGTACATGAAACGGGGATTCAAAGTAGCTGATGACATTGTATAACTAGTTTGACACACTGCTCCTTTGACACTCTCGTTTCAGGGACTCTTGTGTGCAACCTTCGGAAATCCATATCGTAATACAATACTTATGTGTATGATGGACTTCGGAAATCCATTTCATGTAATGTTGACTTCCTCAAATCACAATGTATCGTTGGTCTGGAATGCCACGACATTCCCGTCCTCGAAGGGTGTGACCTCAAGAGTCAAAAACAGTAAAAACTTATGATCCAAGGGTGACATGGTAAATTTTTCTTTTGAACCAAGGCATAAAATTCATTCCCTTTCATTCCATTTCCACGTTTATACGTTCCCCAAACTTTTCCGATCAACCAAACACGCCCTAAAGCCGATCAAAATTTTCCAAAAAACCTAAAGCATCAAAATACTTGGGGCCTGTTTGGTATTCTATCCAAAAATTATGATCATTCTTAAAAATAACTCTAATTAACTTCTTTTAAGAACACTTTATAAAACTTAAAATCTTGCTTGGATTTTAACTTGAAAACTATTTTCAATATTTTTTTATATATTTTGAGTACATTGATATTTTTACATGAGGGGAGAGGGAGTTCAACAAAATTACACAATGGACAGCCTAATTTGGTATTGAATTCATCATCCACGAGATTCGAACGTAAGACCTCTCACTTCTAATTGAAGAAGAATATTTCAGACTATAGTAATGAGTGACAACTATATTCAATATTAAACCTTCTTGGTTTTCCCAACATAATAGACCCACCATCCTCACCTCAAACAGTTCACTCCCTAGTCAGCGCCGACGATAGAGGCACCGTTCCCCACCGCCGTCACTCCTCTCTCTCTCTCTCTCTCTCTCTCTCTCCCTCTCCCAATTTTTCGGGTTTGATGTCGGAGAAACGACCAGAAGATACTCCACCAAGACCAAAGCTCTTGAATACTTTGATTTGGAAGGTGGCTGTTTTTAATATATGGTGATGAATTTAGTTGCCAATTTTCAAAATTTTCCGAAGAAACTTAACAATTAAGCTTGAACGTAAGGTTTGTTCTTGGTGGGGAGGAGGTCGGGCTGGGGGTTTGGATGATTAGAGAGTGAGAAGATGGTGGATCGGGAGTTGGGAGGGAACCGTAAAAACTTCTCTCAGTCGTCGGCGTCTCGAGGTCGGATGCTCCATGCCTGTGGACTCGACGCCAAGGTCACGCATATACTGCGGAAAGAATAGCTCGCGACTGAAAGAAGAAAAAACTGTAAAAACTGACTCTTGTTCTCAAATTTTAGGCTAATTTTTTAGTTCAAGTTTTCAAAAGAGACTTACCAAACAAGTTTTTAGGCTAAGAATTGAAAAAAAGGAAATTTTATTGGAACCATTCAACCTCTTTCTACATCCAAGACAAAAAATATTTTCTTAAAATTCCTAATTCACCCTTTAATTAAAACTGGAAAAAGAATTAAACAAAAACCGAAATCTTTTTCCACACCCAGTGGTTCTGTTCCACCTCAAACCCCATGGAAGATTCGCCGGCGATTCTCCATGGCAACTTCAATTCAAATTCTTTTAGCATCCCAACTGCCTTATATGGCACACCATTCAGTTTCCACAAGTTTTGACTTCGAACTATCCACACAACATAATTGATCCCGCTTCATCTCAACGCATTCCTCATCAACGACTCCGCCATCCCTTCTTGGCCATAAACATTCGTGGTTCTCCACTTTGACGGCTCTGTACCACTCGGAAACTTGTAGGCCTCGAATGCCGGCATTATGATTGAAGAGCGTGAGAAATAGAGGAGGGAGAAAATACAGAAGAGGAGAGGGTTAAGAGACGCCGATGACAAAAGATTCACGCCAGCGTCAGTGAAGAAGACGCCGAAAAGTGGTGGGCTAATACGTGGGTTCATGTTCTTTTAATTTATTTTTACTTTTTAAATAACATCGGGAGGGGCAAAATGGAGAGTTCAATGGTAAAAATATTGAAGTTGGGTTTGAAGATAAGAACGAGGATTCTGGAAATCCTCAAATCGTGTCCGTTCATCATGCATCGTGAGATCAGAAATTATTTTAAATATTTTTATTTAAAATTAAATATGGATAGTATCTGACGAAAACTGGTTGCACAATATACGATGAACGAACACGATTTGAAGATTCCAAAGATCCTCCTGATGAAGATAAGATAGTTAGGTTTAAATAAAATTTACAGTTTCTGAGTTCAAAAATTTGACCTCAAATATAGTACCAAAAGGGTTCGTAAATACGTCATCCTATATTATCCCGTTTCAGTGTTGTCTTAAAAGAAAATTTCAGATCGTATTTGTATTCCCGAGAAGATTAACATACCACCGCGTCACCGCGGGGCCTACTTATCATCGTTCGCGCCATCTAATCTGCACAGAGGCTCTTTCACTTACCAAAACCAACCGTTCCAACCGTTGACGTCAATCACCGCCGTTCATTTCAGATGCATCCGAGTGTTGAATAATTACACTATTTGCTTGCCGGGGACGTCGTTCCTAATTATTCACCTAATCGAATTTATTAACTGTTTCTTAAATACTAAGATGTTTATATTTTAAAAATATGTTATGAAGATATGTGGAGGAGGAAGAAAAAAAAAAAATTTAACTTGTGAAAAATTATATTAATGTTTATATTTTATTTTGTGCTGAAAAATTAAATTGTCTTGTCATCTTCTTTTTGTTTAATTTAAGCCCTTTCTGCAACTTCATCAGCTCTCCTCTTCGCTTTTTTCTATAACTATTCCTCATCTCTCTCTTTCTCTAGAAATTCATCGATCAAAATCTGAAATTCGTCACAGAAATTTGAAATTTGCAAGCTACAGAAATGTCGAGGGTGACGGAATTTCCGGTGACAGCTCGCGGTCGCTTGGCCGTGCTCTCAGCCCACCTGGCAGCTGCGACCATCGAGCCCTATGAGCTCGGACCCGCTCTCGAGCCCCACTGCGCGTCCGCTCACGTCCCACCGCCCGGGAACCTCCGGGGACCTTTGACCATCGTGGACGAGAGGACCGGTAAGAGGTATCAGGTCCAGGTCTCTGAGGAAGGAACCGTCAAAGCCACTGATCTCAAGAAGGTAGAATCTTTTTAACTTATCACTCAATTTGCTAATCTGGGTTTGGTTTATTTTTCCATTTTCTTATCTGGGTATTGGATTTAAAAAAAAAAAAAAAATTTGCTGTTTGATGGTGCATTTTATGTTTGGTTGGGAAAATTGCAAATAAATAGAATGAAAGTGGAAATTTTTATGATGGGGATTCTTGTGTTTGAAATATGATTAAATTAGTGGAAGAAAATTTGGTTCTTGTGAAATATGCAGATCACAACAGGCAAAAATGACAAGGGGCTGAAGGTGTATGATCCAGGCTATCTTAATACCGCCCCTGTTCGATCCTCGATTTGTTATATCGATGGCGACGAGGGGATTCTTAGATATAGAGGCTACCCAATAGAGGAATTGGCTGAGAGTAGTACCTTTTTGGAAGTGGCCTATCTCTTGAGTAAGTACTCTCTCTTAGAAATAGTAACGCAAGGAATGGTTTGTTTTTCTTAATTATATGTATTTTAAATGAAATTTTCTTGTTCGAAAGGAAGAAATACTATTACATTGATAACTATGTGAAGAATTTATATAACTTAAAATGTTTGAGGGCATAATTAATTACTATAGAAATAAGCTGGTTCCCGAAATGTACCCCTGAATTATCAAGAATTATTCAAGATTAGCTGTAGTCTCTCCATGCGTTTCTTGCTGTGAAGTGTCTTTGTGTATCTTTAATTTCAGTTTCCCATTTTGAACTACGTTGCTTTGTCATTAACCCTTTTCTCCTCCAGTGTATGGGAATTTGCCTTCTGAAAGTCAATATGCGGATTGGGAATTTGCCGTTTCTCAGCATTCAGCTGTACCACAGGGAATTTTGGTAAATTTTCTATTTGTTATTCTTATAGAAATCCTTTGACTATCCCTTGGATCAAAATATTGGAATTTTACATGTGATTAACTACATACCATCTTTTTCTTCATATAGTAGGGAATCTAGGGATTTTTTATGTATCTTTTAAATAACCGTGTGCCAAATACATACTCTCTGGTCCTCTGGACTCATGGAGGTTCTTTTGCCCTGCAGAAATGCATGAGTATTTGTTTTGTTGTTACTTTGAGCATTTACACGATGGTGTCTTTTGTATTGTAGGACATTATACAGGCAATACCTCATGATGCACATCCAATGGGCGTACTTGTCAGTGCCATGAGTGCGCTTTCTGTTTTCCATCCTGATGCTAATCCTGCTCTCCGTGTAAGTTTATTCTTGTTGGCTCTTTAAACGACATGAATTTTGTCAGAATCTTATTTACTAAGGGGGTCCATTGTTCGAGTCATTATTTGATTGTATCATATCTGATCATATTTTATGTTAACATAGGGGCAAGAAATTTACAAATCGAAACAAGTGAGAGACAAGCAAATAGCACGCATCCTTGGGAAGGTATGTTTCATCTTGTTCTTTACTTGGGACTTGTGGCCTTAGAAAATGTGGTGTGAATGTTATCTATACTGGCATTCTTTAGGTTGTCCAACTAATGTTGCTCTGTACAAAGCATTTGCGTTGCCTTCCCTCCTCTTTCAAATTTCGATCGATACACTCCAAACATACAGCCTCAGTAACCCAGGCCACAAGGACCCCTTTTTCAGAATTTGGTAGGCCTATAAAATTAATTGGGGAACTAACCCAATCCCCAAAAGAACCAACAGAGGCTTTAACCCCCACCTATACCTCCTCAGTCTATAGCTGTTGTCTTGCTTCTACATCTCTTTATCACTTATTTGGAA